TTGTGCATAGGATCGGGCAGCTTGGTCGAAAGGAGACGAAAAGGGATATATATAAATATTTACAGTATTGTGACTATATTCGCTCATGATGTTACATTCATTGCGGGCAGAGAAAGATTAACCTACTTGTCATTGGTGTTACACATTGATAGTGGGCAGACGAAGAGCTGTTAATTGTTGTAATTGACATTGCACATCGAGACTGGGCGCAGGAAGGTTGACAAAAATATGCGTTTCGCCTAGGTCCCAGAGCAGTTTTTGAAACTTTGCACGGTATTTACAGTGTGTTCTAAAGGTTTTGACCTAGTGTGTGCTCTCCCGAGCACACCCGCTCTCAAGAAAAACTATGACTGGAGGCCCCAATTGTCCCATGCACTGTTCTGGGTCGATGGTCCTTGTTTGCGCCTCTGGAAAAACCGGTTCCGCGACCTTCGCGCGGAACTTGTCGAGGAACTCCTTCGCGCGGGGCTTCGGTGGAACCAACGTCTCCTTGGTGAGCTTTGCCTCCAAGGCGACCGCATCCGCGTCACCGGAAGAAGGATGAAGTCGAGTCACAAAGGATCCCAGACCATCGGACCGGAAGAGTGACGCCAGCGTAGATGGACCCATGATACGTGGGGTAGATGTATGATGTTGCATGTTTATTCCATGCATGGATGGCCGGGTAACCAAAAGGGATCCACCTGTGTTAGCCTCTGAGAAGTTTTGAAAGGGTGCTCTGTTTGTCGGTGATAGAAGGGTGCAGCTTATGTTTATGTTACATATGGACATCAGAGCGGTTGGATAAATGAAGAAGGCGATACCTGCCAGCAGTTGCAAAGGGATAGTCTATGGGTCTTAATGAAGCTTAGGGGATCCATTGTCCACTTACTGGATGTGACTAAACACCACCCCGAGCTCTGTGACTTTTGGTGAACCAGAAACCGAGGCGCCACGTGTGTCACGCTCGTGTCGCGTCACGCTCGCAGGTAGTTCACCGCTCGTGAACACCGCCCCACCTGGTCAACCCATCTCTGTGGATTCGGGTCGCATCTGGGTTTGTGATTTGGCAATTAGGCACAGGAGATCTCCTGTGCCTATCTCGTGTGTTTTTCTTGTGCAACAATCAGATCACCCAAATCCAAGTACTGTACATCACATGCCCATTGTTTGATTGATCCATCGCTTAACCAGATTATATAGGTTATTCAACCATGGGTGGGGAATGAACAAAGACAACAACAATAAACAAACAAACAAACAAACAAACAAACAAACAAACAACCAAACAACCAAACAACCAAACAACAACAACAAAGAACATCTCATATCCCACGGAAGGTCTGAGGCGCATCAGGTCCACGAAGCCACGTCGTTCGACCGAAGCCAAGCGGGATGACTGTAAGGAGGCCTTGCATTTGCAAGATGCACTCTGAATGCTTTTTAGGCAAAGACTCGGATTCTTCTGGGACCTGAACAATTTGTGACTTCTGTAGGGGTTCGAGAACCAATCCCTATACCAGGTTCACCGACCTCTTTTGGCTAAGGGAAGGCTTTTGCAGAGGCCAAGGTGACCCTTAGGAGTGTTCCTTTGTTTTGTGGGATACCCTGGTTTTGCCCATCAGGTGATTTTCATTTTCCCAGTTCTTGGGAGAAGTCCCTAACATGGTGAATATGTTACACTTTTTACTGGTGTCCTGGACAAATCCAAGGATCTGATCATGTCATGTTGAAGGTCCTGCCGGGGTGTTTTCTTTTTTCGGTGCAGACCGTGAAGAGGGCATGAGATTTCGGTGGTGATGCCCCTGGCTATCTCGGCTTCGGTGACAACGGCAGAGAAAGACGAAGCAGAGGAAAGAGACTCGCTGCTTCGAGGAAACCACTGAAAACATTCCTTGTAGTAGCTTCACAATATAGTCATAAGTTATTATATAAGATGTTATAGGACATAGGATCCCAGACCATCCATGTTTCCGAACATATGGAATAGTAACTTACAAGGATGGGTCATAAATTGGGATAGATGTATGATGATGCATGCAACTATTCAATACATTGCTGGTCTGGGAATGGACCTAGGGACGCACGGACAGTGGTGACAGGTTCGAATCATCGGGAGATTTCCCAGGCCTCGGGACTTGAAGATGTACATCGAGCCCGACCCCATTCCCTAGAATTCCAACCACCATGAACTCCGCACTTTTACCGTACTATGTACCGTTCAAAAGGACTACAAAGCCAGGTCAACGTCACATGGCGAGCCAGTCTCCAGGTCTCCACCGGTCCGGTCCCTCACAGGTCCGTGTGCTCACCGCGTACGCCGTGCTTCGCCCGCGGCGAGGACGCCAAGATTCTCCCGGAGCCCGACGCGCCGCTGCCGCTCAATGAGCAGCTGACCTTCTGGCCAGGCGGAGGCCGTCCATGCTGCGCTCGGGAGCGCGAGGGGGGGCGGGAGCGCAGGCTTCTTGTGCAGCGCGGCGCTGGAGTTTTCCAGACGAAAGACCAATTGAAAGCCCGGACATCCGGTGCCCTGCAAAGTACCTTAGAGAATAGGACGTGACCCGAAAAAAATAGGAGAACAAATCATCGCATTTGGACAACTTCCTGGCTCAGGGGTAGATGTCAGACATTGCCAGCCTTCAGTTTGACCATTAAAAGAGGTCGGTTGACCTGGTGCTGTAGTCTAAGTGAAAGAATGGTTGTTTTGTAAAACCGTAAAACCTTATCTTATATATACATCAATGAGGTTTGAATCGGGACATATCCTTACTAGAATTTGAATGCCAGCTCTAGAAACACACCAGAGTGCCATTGTGTAAACACAGAAATCAACCATGTTATTCTGGAAACAGTCAGTTTGCAAGGAAGATGCAGGTCTTGGACCCAGTTCAGAGCTGGACATTGGGGAAAGGGGAATTTGGCGCAAAGGTTGGTGGTATCCTTCATCGTCAGGTCGGGATCATTCTCCGGTCCGAGCAGTCTGGGTCGAGCCTTTAAACCGTTGGAATAGCTTAAGTCGACTTCAGGGAGGCAGGATGAGGCAGGAGCTGTGCAAGGGCTGTGAAGCATCCTTGTTTTTAATGGAATCTTTAGTAATTGTGATTATAGGGCTGAACAATACAAAACAGTAAAATTCTGATGTTTGAAATCTGATGCTTGATAACTCATAAATTCATGCCTGTTTAGATGTTTGGTATATATCATGATCTATAATGATTAAAATAGCAGGTCAACATGTGGGTGACACAATATCGCACATTGGTGACATTGTTCGCGGTATTTTTTCAGTAATGAAGACACGTTGAGTCCACAAGGTCGGAGAACACTACAGATACAAGGCCTGCACGGCCTGCATCATGTACAGGTGCTACATGATTCAAGAGGGCTGGAGAACAGTAGATGCACCGTCCACAGACAGTACTGGGTACTTTGAGTTGGTCATTGACAGGATCTCTTCAAACACAACTCGGGATGTCCTGGTCTTAACCTGATAAGACCAGTGCCTACAAACAGTGGAGTTTGTCTCACTCTCACAGTGTCCTTTGGGCTGCCCTTCGCACAAACACTGTCTTCCCACCCGTTGGAGAAACCCATGGGACTGCAGCAGTCCGGACTGCAGTCCTGCCTACATGTCGGTGGCGTTGGCATGAACGATCGTGTATGTCTGAACGGGTCGGCCTCATGTCTCCCTGACGCCGACAGTCAGGGAGACATGCAAAACCCAGTCGACATCCATTTAAACAGGCGGTAGTTTCAGCTACGCCTGGGAAGATTAGCCTGGAACCTGAAAACCTGGAAGCTTTTTTTCTTCCAAAGGTCCATGCCATCAGTTTCCATGTGAGTCTCTTCCACGGGTGTATGCTTAAATGTTCAAGCTTTGCTTGATACCCACTGACGATGTTCTGCGCACGTGTCCACTGACGCCCCCGGCAGACCACGACCGCTCTGGGCGCGTCCAGGTGGTGAGCTGAACCACGAGGCGATGCCCGAGAGGAGTTTCGACCTGGTAGGCGACGGCGCCCGCGATCCGCAGCGACGCGATCGCAGTCGCTTCGGTCGCTGAAGCGGCGGCTTCAGCCGGTTTTAGAGCTGGGAGGAGGTTCTGCTACAGAGCTGAACTGAGCTGTTTCATCAGCTACTGTATTACCGAGTACCAATTCAAGGCTATTCAAGGTTTTGTTTAGATGTGGTGTTTGTCAAGGACAGATGCAACTTGACCTTGCGTACACAAAGGTAGATTGGATTCCAAAAGGCCAAGCACACACTCCAAAATATACAATGACCCCTCCACTAAAAACTTAATTGGAGGGGGGGGTCCTTCGAATAAATATATGTTCATGATCAAGTTAATTTATTTGATCTCCGACATTTGTCCAACATTTCGGTAAAGACCTAAGTCGGAAAATAGAATATAGTTTAAACTAGTTTAAACGTAATTGGCATGCTCCCAGTATATTTTGGATCAGGCTAGGGTCCCGTCTACTTGAGAAATCATCAAGAGGTTGTGGAGAGGTTGCACACCCCTCTAAAAAAAGAACTCATCATGATGAGATTCGAAAGTTGTCCAAGCCCTTTTTGGTGCCTGATTCGACTTCGCTGCATATGTACGAGCGTTTGATCCACACTCAAAGCCAGGCAACAGACATGAATTCAGGGCGGGTTGGCCCCTGGAGGAGGGGTAGATGAATTAGTATGAATTAGTTGGCAAGCATAGGCCTGGGAAAGTGCAGGGGGGATGCATCACCATCCCCACAAGAACCAGGCAGGAAAGTAGCCACCAAGGAGGAGTTGCGAGATGTTTGGATATTACTGGATTGTGGGTTTGCTGCGACCTGGGGAGGGGACACACATTGAGGGGTTTGTGAGTAGTCGATGAGTTACGGCCCCCCCCAAGCAGGGGTAGAGGTATCCTCGTTGAATTTCCACGAAACAGGCGGGGCCCCATCTAACGTAGGTACGGTCATAATATAATCAGATCCAAGACAAGACACACACTCCAAACCCTATAGGGCTCCAGTCATGCCTCCAGTCGTGCCTATCCGGTTTGGAGCTCTTTTTTCGGGCCAATCCACGCTTCGCATCGCCTGCGCATCGGCCGCTCGCATCGCAGTGAGGCAGCTTTTCGGACTGGCAGCCGGTGCCCATGCAGAAGGAGACCGGACCCGGGCGCAAAGAGATGGTCCCATGGGACTGCCATATTCTTGCCGCCCCATTGACCCTGGCACCACCCCAATGTAGGCATATATGGCATACATGGAGTGTTTGGGATGGGTAACTAAACAAGAACATTGGGATTTGTCATTTGGAACGTGCAAAAACCCTTAGCTGATCCCAAATGAAGGTATTGTGGGACAGCAGCTCATGTGCAACCGGACTGACCGCTGAAAAACCGATGAGCTTGTCAGGGTCGATGTTCTACATTCTCTTGCCACAATGAGCCGGTGGATCACTGGTCAATGGTCACCTGCAACACCTGCCAGACCTGCTGGTGCGACTTGTTCATCCTCTCATGGATCCGAGAAAAAGATTCTCAGGTACGTGCACGTGTTTGAAACGGTTACGTAGGTGCCGGCCGGGAATCGGTTCCGTTAAACGCAACCGAAGCTACGAAAACGGATCCCTAGAGCCAGTCCGGGGTATACGATGTACCCTATTGACTTATACCTGACCTATAGGTCCTCCCTAAGAATCCGGGCCCGAACCAACAGACAGGGTTTGGGAACCGGGTTCTTCAGACCCCTGCGTGAAACGGTGGAGCTCTGGTCCGACCCCTGTCATGGAGGGCCCGAGCTCGGATTGTTAGGTCCTATACATTGGTTCTTCGGAACAGCCGGAACCTGTGTCGGACCGTGCACATCGCCGGGTGAGCAGGACGTTCGGTCAGTTCGGTGTGAAGATCGTGAAAGCCGTGAGCCGGACCATGCAAGCAAATAGGAAGGAGATGGAATAACAAGCTGATTTTGTAGTCTGAAATCCGTAAGACATGTAAAAACCATGTACGTTTTGCAATTCGTATAACATCCTCGCCAGTATCCTGACCAATTTCCTTTCATCGGCCTGGTCGAAGTCACAGAAGCGCCTTAGTCGATATTCCTCGGGCGCTCAGAGACGGTCGAACAGGAGTCAGAGGGCATCTACAGCTACGTCTTGATCTTGGGAGAGAACAGGCCGTGTGCCGGTCGCGCGGCGGGCAGCGGCCGAAACGGCCGGGGATACTCCGTGATGGCGATGGACATCTATTTATATGAAGGAAAGGGACGACTTAAGGGACCCCTTTAGATTTACTGTACTCCAGTAACGGACCACATAGAAGCAACACCCAAACTCTCCATGTATGCTATATATGCCTACATTGGGGTGGTTTTGGGGGTCAATGTAGGCATATATGGCATACATGGAGTGTTTGGGACACATAGGCTTTGGGAACCGGGTACTTGTACCCCCTATGTTTTGGTGGTCCGACGCCATGGAAGCCCCGTCTGGATTCAATCGTAGGGTCATCTAAATCCATTCTCACAACTTTTCAGATTTTCCAAAGAGGTGGAGGCTGATCAGGCTCTCCGAGGAGTTGTCTGAGCATGAAGTCTTCAATGTCTGGGCGGCACCTGCCGTGGAAGGGATGGCACAAAACTGGATGGATGGAAGGGTTCCACGTGCATCCTTCCTATCCCAGAGAAGGCATATATCTGGAATATTGACCAATTGACCCCAGGTCAACCACCCCAACTGATCGGTAAATCTTCCAGTCCCATTATATGACGTCGTGTTTGGGATATGCTATCGAGACATGTTCTTTCGGAAACCGGCCGAGTTCCGTGGGGGGACACCGCCGATCCGACGCTGGTCACGCCACAGGTGGGAGGTCTTTCAGATTTGGCTGGATGGAGACCCTTACAGGCGGGCTTCGAGGGTTTAGGGTGGCGAATGATCTGAGGGTTATGTTGATTGTTCATTCCCAGACGCTCCCATGTATGCCATATATGCCTACATTGGGACCCCAAACCACCCCAATGTAGGCAAATATGACATACATGGAGCGTTTGGGCATTGGAAATGCATCAATTGATTGCGGAATCGGAGAAGAGTAGTATTAGTGGAGGGTTCTTCCTCGGGAGTCCACGGCTCGGGACTGTCCGGGTTGTCCCAGAAGATGCCTCATGGCTAGAGAGCCAAACGGGACATTGATATAATGTGACTGGTGGGACAGACTCAGATGCCAGTCCCAGAAAGACCCCTGAAACCAACCGCTGGAGTGTGAGTGTCATGCCTGCCTGCCTATCTATGGATGATGTTGGAGCATCCAGGAAGAGAGGTTTTGTAATGTTTTGTCCATCGTCACCATAGCTATCCTTCATGTAAATGTTCCCTGCTGCCCTAAGGATCCGCACCCGAACCAGCACCAAGGGTGGCAGGACACCATTGCCCTGTGATGGAGGGTGCGTCCCCTACAAATTATGGAGGCCCCAATGGCGATGGATCAACCTCCCATACGGAGATGATATTTTGACTATCCCAAATTGATTCCACACTTTTGGCCCCTGGCTATGAGGGTCTGCAATGGTCCAATCCCTTATGGTTGATGGTTCAAGGACGGTGATGACATGAACCATTCTTTTGGTATCACTCCCAAACACTCCATGTATGCCATATATGCCTACATTGGGGTGGTTTGAGGGGTCAATGTAGGCATATATGACAGACATGGAGTGTCTGGGACTCACTTCCCGGTGTCATGTCGCCTGTGAAACCGTTTCTTGTTACCCTCAAAATCCGAGCTTCGGGCCCGACATCTGAGGCGGGCACGACAAGGGGGGTGTGGACCCGAAGCAAAGCCTACTATGTGTTGGTTTTTGGGTGCCCTAATTCTTAGGGGCTGAGTTAAAGGATCTCAAGCCCATATATTGGTTCAACATGTTTGAAGGTGTATAAAGAAAATGGTGCAAAGGCACCGGGAAGCGCCAAGCACCGTCACCGGGATCCGTAGATTGGCAGAGCGAGGAGGACCACGTTGGCGTCGTCCCACGATTTGGTCTTCCAAAACCCGGACACTCCATGAGACTGGACTTCCGGGGGGGCCCCACATGGCCCATCAAAAACCTGGTTTTTCCCCTAGCAAAAGACATGGTTTTTGTATGTGAAAACCTTAGTTTTTCATGGTTTTGAGGGCCCCTGGTAAGGAGTATGATTTGGACTGTCACTCTCATGATGACACTCCTCTGAATGGAGGGTAATAATGATCTTTTCCTTCCATTCAGATCAATATTCAGCAAAGATGGAAGTGGAAATCAGTGGAACATGGACCCTTGGAAGACTGTTTTCCTCTGCTTTCCAGGCCGCTTCCACTTCAAATCCAGTCTCGACTCGACTGGAGGGTGTTTGGGGACGCATCCATCCATGGACTGGGTCAACCATGAGTCAACCACCCTGGTCGGCCGTTGTGCCGGGAGTTGACGACTCGTCATCCATGTGCCCGGCTGTTCACCTCGGAAGGATGCCGGGTCTTGACGGATGCCGGTCGGGCGGAACGAACAGTCCTGGTCGCCGGCGTGAGGATCGCTTCGCCGTGATGGACCAGTTGCTGAAGTCATGTTGTGTTCCGTCGTGATGTTTGGATCTGGCCGAAGCTTCATCCACGGTTGTTTCACCTAAAATTGCCCCCATCAATGTTTGACCATTTTTGACCAATGGATCCACTTCCTACAGGTTTTACCGTTTTACCGGACCTTGCTTGGACCATGATCTACTTGGTCCGATAGGACTCCGATAGGACGCCTATGGACCTGATTTCTGTCAGAGTAAATCGGCGCACGCAAAAATCTGGGGTGAGATTTCGGAGTCCGCGTGGCGCGTGTCGTAGGTGCCTGTTCCCGGAGCAGCACAAGGCAGCCTCGAAGAGCCATGTGTTGGGTCCAGAGGCCAAAGCCACCAGCACCTTGGATGCCCAAAGACCGTTTTTGTTGTTCGATGTTTTTTGGAGGCCACTGGCAAGACCAACAGCTGAAGAAGTGCAAAAATACGTGTTTGCTTGTTTTGCTTCACCCTGGTGGTGATCTTGAGTGTTTTGGGAAAAGAAGGAGGGATGCCAATCTGAAGCTGCAGCTTGAGAAGGGACAACCTTTAGCGGACAATTACAACTAACACCATGGATCATCAAGGCTCAATTTGATATGATCATTTAATAATGATATATGTTTTTTAGTAACATGTACCGAAACATGTCCCTATTTCTACCTCTTTCCCCGAAAATCCACTGAAAACGTCGCTCTTCCGAAACCGAACCACGTCCGGACCGCCCGGACCTGCCGTTCGACCGAGGCTGCTGGTTGTTGGACGGACGACCTGAAGGCGAATTGCGGCTCCGGATCAAGGCGGACCCGTCCGCTGTTCGGGTGGCCGGTTCCAACGGGCGGTGCCCACCTGGTGACCGAGATCTGTTGGTGTTTGGGTTTCGAACGGATGGAGGCTGGCCAGCGCGTTTTGGGTGGGTTCCTGAAGCTTTCCTTATAGAATGAGTTGCCAGAATGCGGGGGTGTGGTTTGCTCAAGCATTTGATTAAGAAGAGTGCGCATTTAGAATTGGACATCGTGACATCCTCTTCACATATGAGGGGTTTATCAAAAAGAGTCGAGGCGTCTATACATTGATTGTTATAGTTGATCTTAGCTGATGCTACTGGTGGTTGTTTGTCGTGGTGTTGCTTGGAATGACCTCCAGTTGGAGACCAGCGAAGCACCTACGGCACAAAGACATCTTCTACTTGGGAACCTTGTCTTTCGTTGCCAAACTCAGCTTTTGGAAGCCAACTGAGATACATGAACATTCCAGAACATCCCAGAACATGGCGAATTCTGTAGTTTCATCAAAACTGTGACTATATAGAACCTGGGGGATTCTCCTGGATTCTATGCTGAACCTGGTCCCGGACTCTGACCAACCGCCACGGCGTGCCAGGGCTCGGTCGCGGGCCGCACAGCGGAGGGCCGCGGTCGCGTGGGCTCACGCTGGCGAGTCCGGCTGCAGATGCGGGGGTCGCTGGGCCGAGACGAAGGATTAGAGGCGAGGGAAGCGAGGCCAGGCGGGCAGCCAGGCGAGAAGAGTTTGGTTTCAGCATCAGTGGGAGCATGGTGCCCTGTTCTCTGAAATCGCTAATATCCCTCCTAATTCCTCCTTGCATCTCCTTTCAGATTGGTTCCCAAATGTTCCCCACATTGTTGTTAGATTTTATGTCAGCTGCCGTCCTCCTCCTCCTCCTCCTCTCCTCCTTTGCCTCGTCCTCCTCCTCCTCCAGACCTCATCCGCAAGTGCAGGATGGCAGTGTCCCCGCCGGACCTCAACTGCGAGGGTCGCGTGGCAGTGTTCCCCGCCGCCGGACCTCAACCGCGAGCTTCGGCTGGCAGTGTTCCCCGCCGGACCTCAACCGCGAGTCAAAAGATATGCCAGATAGAACGCCAGAAAGGATGTCAGAAAGAATGTCTGAAGATATGCCAGAAAGAATCTCAGTCAGAATATCAGAAGATTTGCCAGATAGAATGCAAGATTGAGTGTCAGAAGAGATGCCAGAAAGAATATCAGACAGAATGTCAGCAGATATGCCAGAAAGAATGTCAGAAGATATGCCAGAAAGAATGCCATCAAATGTTTCAGCAAAAAAAAATGTCAACTTGAAATGTCATGGTGGGGATCACTCGGAGTAAAGTATTTCTAAATGTTGGCTATGATTTTTTGCTGATTCATACGAGCTTACGGAGTTTGCTCGGACAGGACAGAGCCTTTGTTTGTCTTGTCCGCCCTCCGCAAACACCTGACCGACCACAGCATCAGGGTGGGCATCTTCCGCAGCACGCAGGCAGTCTGTGAAGAAGTGTGCCATGAGCATCTGCCAGCCCCCAAGGGCAACCAGCCAAGGGAGACGCATCATTTGGACAACCGTCTCCAAGCCAAGCCTCTTGGCACTGTCTGGTGCGACTAGTAGAGCATTACGCTGGGCTATGAGGCTGGCCAGCACCTCGCTATAGCATTCGCTAGCATTCCGGCGAGAAACTCGCACTCGGCCGCTGCTGGAAATCACATGCTTCCTTGCTCACAAGGCCGGTAGCACAGATTACGCCTACGCGCGCCCTGCAGGCGCGTGTGTTTTTTTCTTTCGGCGCTCTGCGCGGCTGGTTTTATATTCACTTTTAACTTTCATGGCAGGGCTCCGTTCTTCAGGCCAGCTCAACTCAGAACTGATCGAAGAAAGGTTGAGCACAGAGCCCCGTGCCCTCGCGCTCATAAATGACCCAAGTGTCTTCTCCGCGGAGCGCTCTGGCACCTCGAAAGGTTGGGGCATTAATGTTGACTCTTGAGTACTCAACCCCCCCCTCAACAACCAAGACCTCTATATTTATTTTGTGTGAACAATGATTAACTATAACTCATAAGAACAGCTTGAGCTACCTCTGGCAATACTTTAATAGGAACAAAAAAAAAGCTTAACGTTGAAGACATTTGGAATAAGAACCTTATCCCAGCAAGATACCCCAAACAGTGTGTGTGAGGTCTATAGAGGTGTAGCAGCAGAAAGTCCAGAGATCTGCGCGTGTTGTGGTGCAGAGAGGTGATGGTGGACATGAAGGTGGAGATCGTGGTCCGTGGTGATGGTGGTGGTGGTGATGATGCTGGGTCACATCTGCGAGCATGCCGGGCTAAGCGCAGACTGCTCCACATTCGCGCTTCAGACAGTGCTGCGCCTGCCTTGACATCTGCACTTCGAGGTTCGCAAAGTGCTGCGCCTGCCACGAAATCTGCACTTCGAGCTTCACAAATAAGTGTGCTGTGCCTGCCACGAGCTCTGCACTTTGAGGTTGACAAAGTGCTGCGCCTGCTACGAACTCTGCACTTTGAGGTTTACAAAGTGCTGCGCCTGCCACGAAATCTTCGCTTTGAGGTTCACAAAGTGCTACGCTTGCCACGATTTCTGAGCCACATGTCCAAAAGCCACGATGCATTGCACCTGCAGTCACGAAATCAGAGCACGTCGAAAATTACCACCGCGTCAAAACTAGTGCTGCACCTGCCACGAAATCGAAGTAAAGCTGATCCGATCCCTTGCGCCTGTCACGAATTTTCAGTGTTTTGTAAACAGCGAATTGGCCGGACGCCCCGATGCCGATGCAACACCTTGATTCAACACCAGCCCTTGACCCCTACCGTAAGAACTCCTATAGTGTGTCCACACTGTTTGGGGAATGAAAAGGAATCAATGAAACCTCAGGTTGCAGATGTAGTATTACAATAGTGGAGACAGGGTGCTGGTGCCGGGTGCCGGTGCTAGTGCTGGGTCGCTGGGCGCCGGGTGCCGGTGCTGGTGCTGGTGTGAGCTGGCTGTGCACGTGGTGGAGACAGGTTGCTGGTGCTGGGCGCCGGGCGCCGGTGCTGGTGCTGTGAGCTGGCTGCGCACGTGGTGGAGACAGGTTGCTGGTGCTGGTGCCACGTGCCGGTGCTGGTGCTGGGTGCCGGTGCTGGTGCTGTATAGTGAGGGGGATCTTTTTCCCAGATAGCGAAGCTATGGGGTTCTTACTTCAAATGACAATGAGCTGCCTGCGTGCGCTTAGAGACAGGTTGCCGGTGCTGGTGCTGGTGCTGTGAGCTGGCTGCACGCGTGGTGGAGACACGGTGCCGGTGCTGGGTGCTGGCAGTGCGCGTGGTAGAGACAGCGGGCGCCGGTGCCGGCGCTGTGCCAGCGCGTGTTGTGGAGAGTGGGCGCCGGCGCTGGGCGCAGGCTGTGCCCGTGGTGGAGACAGGGTGCTGGGCCCTGGGTGCCGGGTGCTGGTGCTGGGTGCTGGGTATACCGGCACTGGGTGCTGGTGCTTGGCGCCATGAGCTGGCGTGCCGGTGCTCGGTGCTGGTGCCTGCTTCCTTCTGACAGTGAAGGGTAACAAACCGCCGCTTGCAGCTGTGAAGGGTAACCAAGCGCCACTTCTGAATGCTCTTGTACTGACCCTTTCAGAAACAGTCTTATTGCCATCCATGCCCTTCCCGTCCGCCACTAGGGCGGAGACCACCGCCACTCGGTTGGAGGTTTTGTCCTTTTCTTTTGTTTCCTGTAGTCTTTTTCCCTGGTAAGCGGGTGTTACGTAACAATGCAGGACTTCCCTATTTCCATGAATCCATTTGGTTTTGGCGCCACGCATAAGGGGAGAAACTGCGCGCATACGAAACGAGAGTGGCCGCATACGAAAAAGAACCTGCCGCATTTGAGAAGGAACCTGACGCAAAAAAACAACACCCATCCTGCAGCATATGGAAAAGAATTGTGAGCATAAAGAAAAAAACTATTCCCATTGTTTTATATTTTGAAAACAAGCTCTCTCCAGTTAGATTGTTTGTATACGGTTCGTGTTATTCTTATTAACTATTAGTCTAGTGTGTTGTTTCCAGATCAAATTGCATGCGCGTTTGGTGCTGTTATGTTTGCTCAACAACTTATTGGGCTATAACTTATTCACATGAGTCGACTATTGTGAAGTGAACATTCCAAAAAGGGATCGATGCCCATCTCCATTTATTTGAAGCATCATGTCTGAATCGGACACCCAAACACTTCGGACGCCCGCCCCACAGAAGAACACGCACCTTGCCACCAAGGAAGTGGCGTATGGTGGCACGGGCGCCCAGTGGATCACAGAAAGGTGTGCCCGGCGAAGAGAGGTCAATCACCAGCTGTATAAGTGTGGGTGTTGTGGTCTCGAATCCTTCGTAAAACAGCTCGGTTGTTGGGTAAACACTATTCAATCAACTTAAATCCTTACCCAGACCATCCATGCAACTGGACTATTTACCATCCCATTCACCCCCCCAAAAACCCACCACGCCTGGCCTTTTCTCCGCAAAGATGGTAGTCCCAGACAGGTCGTATTTGGGATATGTCTCAACAGCTTGGTTCTTCGGGATTCTCCCATGAAATCATGTTTCTTCGGGCGGTTCTTCGGGTGGCCTTTTTGGGGTTTTGGGGTTCGGACGATCTGCAAAAGCTGTATCTCATGATTTGACTCCCAGTCCTAGCATTCAAAGACCATTTTGAAGCTGGTTGACGTGGTGTTGTAGTGTCAAATCCTGAGTAAGACATGTACAACAACGGTTGGGACCGGGATTGAACCTATGAAAGGAATATATTGGGCCAGGAATTTCTATAGGTTAGTACTTCTTGATTCCGACGCCTGGAGTGCATGATGTCATGGGCCCCCGTGAGAGCATGGCCCTGGGCCCCCCCATTCCGCTCCGATGAAAATCCGGGTGTGGCGGGAAGGGTGATGTTTGTTGTTTCCTGGTCTATCCAAGTCTATTATTAGGTGTTTTTTTTCCTGGGGAGATAGATAAACTCGGTCACAGATTTGTCATTTACAGACCAACACCCCTGTGGTCCTGTAGCAAGCTGAAGGCTTCAGGATGCTTTAGGGCAAGGTGGTGGACGACCGAGACATTTCGCAGACCGTATCAGACTGCCTACCTCTTTGTGGAATTGGCTTCCGCACTAAATAAGAACAGGTAGACATGGACTTGGACATGGTTCATATGGTTCATCCTGATTTTTTTTCGAAAATATACGGGAGACAGACTGTCAGACTGGGAGCACACTGGAGTCAGGTCCAAAACCGATGCAGAGTCGGAAGAAATTGGCCAGTGAAGAGTCTGATTGGTCCGTGTCTCCAGAAAGGTGGAATCGAGGTGTGTTTTCGGGCTCGGGAAAAAACAGGTTACTGTACGTAGTGCATTCCAGAATGAGATGCAGCCTCACAAGTCAGAAGTTTGCCCTGAAGGTTTGCCTCCTAAATCAGTTGTTTGACAGATAAGCAGAATGCGGTTTTCTGCATCCCAACTCATGTTTTCTGCATCTCTACCCATTAAAACGATGTGTTTTCTCATGATGTTTACAGAGAGGTAGTTAAGTCGCGCCCGACTCCAGGCGGGACCTTCGTCAGGGGTCCGAGGGTCCGATGGTCGGAACCCATCCCTTTGAGGGACCGGGACAGGGGGGTTCGCCCTTGGCCCTCAAGGAGACTCGTGCTTAGGAATGAGGGAATGAACCACCCCTGTAGACCCCTCAGGATCCAGTCCCATATTCCCTACGAGTCGCGCCAGTCAGTTAAGGAGAAGAGAATCTTCGTTTGATCCATCCATCATCATCCCAAGGACTGGGAGAGACTCAATGAGCCCTTGGCGTCCAAGGCGGGGAATTGAGAGAATCACCGGATGGGACAGTGTGATCCATGTGTGGATGACCTGGCCTCGCTGTGGCCTGGAATATGTCTTGAAGGTTTGTCATGGTTTGTCTTGTTCAATTGATGGCTCTTTGAAGGTATAGTCAATTTTCTTTATTGAGCCCAAGCAGACACGTTCAAGTGGGTGCTAAATCCGGAGGACATCCCAAACTCACCCCTGAAGTTGAGCTTCTGACAATAACCACGCTCGTGACAGTGACAGTCCTATGTATGTCATTTCAGCGGAGTTCCCAATTCAGACACCATCAGTCCACCCAGACTTACCAAGAGAGATTCTTACTGGGGTACATACCAGGGGCCGGGCCCCACATGGCCCGTCAAACACCTGGTTTTCCCTAGCAAAACACATGGCTTTTGTATGTGACAACTGTGAGCACCTTGTGTTTGTTCATGGTTTTGAGGCCCCTGGTATGGTCTACATATATGTATATATAGTCCAATGGGTCCTTCAACCTCTGTTGGCACCCATGAGGTGGTATGGTGGATTCACGGTCCGTGGCTAGGCCCCGCACCGCCGCCCGCCCCTTTGGAGCGAATCAACATCGAAACGCTTCACGTCTTCGCCATGAGTAATTCCCAAACGGAACCACTGAAAGACCTGCATGGAAGACTGGGAAAAGCTCTTCGACATGGAGGCTGATGCGTGCGGACTTGTTGAAGTCGCAGAATCCGCAGAATCCGTGCAAAACCTCCTTGAGTCGGGTGTGACCCGCAGGGCGGGTTCAAATGAAACGACATGAAACAACAGCCTTCCTGGTGTTGACATCAATCTCAAGTCAATCGAATCCACACTGCCCTGTCACGCATCGTGCCGGCTGCCTTTAGTGTCCGAGGAAGAGCTTCCATTGTCCAGCTACTTTGTCACCGCCGACTTCAACGGTTGGGGTCTAGCATCTTGGTGATTGATCATGTCCGTATGGTTTGGCCAAGACTTTGACCTTAGAATCCATTTCCGTAGCCAAAGACGGGACCCGCTGGTCGCAAACGTGCTATGAATGAGCAAAGTTCTAAAATGTGCTACATGTCAGCGCTCAAGTTTGATCAACAAAAATACATATATATATATATATAATGATATTCCTTAAACAACGATATCAAAATCCCCAAACGATACCTAAGACCTAGCCTTGTGACGGTACACATCTTGGAATCTATTTTTACCCTGCTGACACTCGACACAGCGTATAGCATATGTCCAAGTGCTTTTTTGTTCATATGGTTTGCCACCATTGGTTTTGCTCATTTTCCCATCTCTTTCTTCGATGGGACACAATTATGGGTTTAGACCGATACCAAAACGATACCCACTTCATAGGTCTGTATGCCCTCGGAAACCAGCTATAGTGCTACATGCTACTACTACTACTGCCACTACTTCTACTTCTGCTACTACTACTACCACCACGACTACTACTACTACTACTTCTTCTACTACTTCTTCTTCTACTACTACTATTGAAAAGTGTTGAGTTATTCCCTACATCTAAACAAAAATAAGGATGTGGGATTCATGTGTTCAAAGTTTGCCGTCCCACTCGCCCACCAAAAGGATTTCGCTTGCACGACCCAAAGGCCCGAAACCGGTCGTTGCTGGTGGTGGTTTCCACACGCCCGGGTGCAGGAAGTGTTGTGAAAGCCTCCATGATGTCCCAGCCTGTTTCCTCGGGATGCCAAGTAAAGTTTAAAACACTTTATCTTATAAAAGAATGATGCCCGACTCGTCGTGTTACGGTAAACTGAGTACGTTTGTTTCTCTCTAGCGATAGTCGGGTATTCGGATTCTGTCAAATGTCCTTGAATGTAAAAAGTCGTTGGCCCTTCGGGCCGTTCGTCATGTGTCGGTCCGCGTAACTCCGAGCGTCGGTCGTTGACCACCGGCCCTCACGGTTCGGGATGCCGAAGAGGTGGAACTGTTCTGGAAGTCGTGCGTGAAGGGACTTCCACCGGGAAACGGCTCGGGAATCCGGCCAGGTATGGCCAGGTGATAGGAGTGGATTCGGTAAGTGATAGGAGTGCTACTCGATGCAGCGTTCATGTTTCCCGATCAGTCAGGGATGGTGATTGAAGGGGTCTATGTGGACACATCTTCCAGTCCCATTCAGCGTTTGTGTCGATGGCTGCCAAGGAGATCAGTTGGACCAGAACCGTCGCATACCGCATACTGTGAACCCGCACACGGGCTGATTCAAGTGGTTTCAAACACGATCCAACATGAACCACGGGATGATGACACATGGATGTTGCTCTTGCCCAAAACAGCCAGTGTCACAGCTTTCATATAAGGAGCCTGCGCTTTCCGCAAGTATAGACCATGTACTTTTCATCTCAGTTCTGCTTGGTTCTTCATCCCTGCTACAGAAGGACCAACAAACAACATCACTCCAAGGGCGAGACCACCTGTTTGTTTTCTCCAAAGGCATTTGGTTTTGTCCTCTTCAGCGAACCATCCCAAGGGCTCCTGGCCCACCTCCTGAGGTTCGGTGGTTTGGGTGTACTTTTTGGGGGGGTCTAACCGTCTAACCACCGAACCTGAGGATATGTTTGGAGCCATAACCAAGTCATCCGTCTTGGGCATGGACCCAGGAGCAGATGCAGCTGCAGGAGGATGGCAGCTGGCGCTTGGAAGTCCACCTGATACGTCCAGGCGGAATTGGGCGAAGAGGAAGAAGGGCGGAGAGTTGGCACAAACCAACGGTTCTTCAGCACCCGACTGTTCGACTATTCGAGTTGGGTACCCCAGCTGATGGGTCCTAGTTGCCGTCACAAAAAAAACTCTGTTGGAATGGCATCATATCAGTGCAGACCGCACACACTGAGAAGAGTGATTGGGTGGAAAAGCTCAGAACGATGTCGAGCAGCTCAGAACCTCCGGTGTGGTCCACATTCCTTTGTGGTAAACGTATGCATGCGACACCGTCGCCCGCTTTTGCCATCCATTTTGCGTGTTGATAGCAGGTACACACCGTACACTAGAAGCACAACATTTGTAATGACGTGCAATGCCATGAGGCTTAGTTTGAGTAGGTACCTATAGAGAGGTTGCGCAGCCCCTTTTGGGCTATCCCATATGTACCACTGAACTGGGTCCCAGTTCAGGTCTCTCAACCTCTCTTGGTAGTTCTTATTGCCACCGAAATGATGGTGGATCGAAGGTCGAGATGAGCCAACGTGTGAGCCAACATCAGGTCAAAAGAACGGCGACCAGCTTACAAAAAGAATCCCTATAGAGGTCCAACATGATCCAACGATTCCGTACCACCTAATTCTTTACCAGTAAGGATTTCTTGTGATATGACCAACTTCAGTCTAATGAGCTCCATTTTTCACCCATGCGGGTGCTCGCCTCCTCGCCTCGCCTCCTCATCCGTCGTCCGTTGGGTCGCTCCGGCCGAGGCGGGAGCTTCCAGATCCTGCGGAACCGCGATCCGGATCAGACGATGCACCACGGAGAGAAGAGAGGTTAAGTGACCTTAAATGGGACCCATCACCTGGGGTACCTATAGTCTATAGGGTTCTTCAACCTTTGCTGGGAGAAAAGACCGGAAACGTCTGAGAACCCGAGCGGTGTGTGGGCAAAGACAGACGAGAAGGGAGGAGGGAGAGAGGAACGCGGTGTGGAGAGAGCGGTGTGTTGGTTTCGTTTTGGTTGGTGGGGTTTGGGCCGAGATCGCGGAGAGGGTTGGTTTGCGCTTGAGGAGCTGAGGTGTTTTTTGTTGGATTTGTTGCTATATGAAGCAATTCTAGGTTTTCAGGGAACATGAGGGAACAATGGCTGTGAATGGAGCCTTTGTGGTTGTTCTTCTTCAGTGCATGGACCAACAAGGCCAAGCAAAGTGTTTTGTGAATTGATGGTATGAGGATGTATGAGGTATGAGTCGATGTTTGCATCATGGTTTTTGATGGTTTTCCTTGAAGAACATCACGTTCCATATCATATGGGTATATCTTCCTGTGTGTGTGTGTCTACATGGACCAGTTCTTCACCTCTTCTCACTGGGAGACGCTGAAGGGTTCCTCGACGTCTCTTCCTCTGGGGGTTCCTCGCGAATCAGGCGAGTCAAGGACTGTATTGCACATGTCATACAACGAACATATATACACAAAGAGTCTTTGGGAGCTAGGGATCCGAAGACTTCTAATCAGGGCAGCTACTCGGACCCTCCGTACCGAGGTACCAGATTCAAGCATATAGAAAAGGGTCCTATCTGGTACGGTATTGCCTGCACCGGCACCAGTCGCACCGGTACAGATACTCGGGGACTAAAAGTCCGATGTCGGGCTTTTGATGGAGGGCCCCCCGGGTTCTGAGGGTGTTTTTGTTGGTATATGTTTATGTATACTTTGGGCCTATGTAACAGTCAGTAAACAATTATCACCATTTTAGATATTTTAGAGAAATGCCTTTACTAACTAACAATAATCATCCGCTGTTACTGGTTCTAGGATAGACCCAATGTATACTGATTGCTTGGACACATGTTCCTAAAAAGCTTATTTCCATGTACATGATGGTGACTCATGCGCAATGCAGTTTGCGGGTCACTGTTACCTGTGCTCTGTGATGTTGTCCGATGTCTTCTTTGGATCCACAATCAGTTGGACCAGGGAATGCAATCCAACCAACCAGTGTCAAGAACACGCGAAAAACATGAAGAGCGCACTATGGTACCATAACATGTGGCCACTGACCAAAAAAACATCCGCATCCTCTCACCGCTTTCCCAGGTATCCGGTAGAGGGGGAGCCAAGAGGTCCCGATGACCTTAGCGAGGGCCGATGCTGGACCATGAAGGTGGCTGTGCCGGGGCACTGACACCTGGGGCACATGGGGCTGGAGCGGTGGAACTAACAGCGGCCGTTGGGCGCGGTTCGGTGAAAGGCTCTTCCAACGGTTGGCGGAATCCCGAACAGCATCAAACAGCCATGGTAGTGATAAAGCAAGGAGTTTACACACAAGATGATGTCGGTGGCTTGTCTAAAGCGAGTGCAAGAAGGGTACAAACCCGGAGGTGGGTGGACAAATGAGCAGGCAAAAGATTGGCTTCTATTTTCCCAAGAAACTGAGGATGTCAGGGTGAACAGTCACAAGGAAGGACTCTATGATTTGTATTTTTTTGTTCGTGCTTCCACTGAACCACTGTGTCTTGAAGCAGTGGAGGCCTTCAGAGCATCATGGCCTTCGTGGTCACCCTTGTGTGCAATCTTCACTGTGTCACCCTGGGTTTCGGCTCATTCAGACTGCGACTCGTCATCCCTGACTTTGGTGAAACAGATTGACTCATCCACTGCGAAGTTCGGTGAAACCGATGTACGGTGTTTCCAGCATCTGGCCATCTGGCTTCATCCTGCCATTCGTTGCTATCCAGCGTAAGACGTCGCAGTAGGTAGATCGTAGACTCATGGATTTACACAAAAGACAGTAGGGTGTCGGACTGTCGCCACTGCGCAAACAGCTGGACAATGGTGATGCTTGGGAATCAACTGGAAGTTGCACCTGACTTGATGTTCTTGCCAACTACGTACTCCCTCGTGTAAATGGAGTGCTGAATAGGTCCTCAAATGAAAAAGAACACATTCCGTTTTCTATCTATCAGTGAGGAGGACACTGTTCTGCTCCATGATCCGCGATGCTTTGGCATAGGAATAGCAACAAACAGCAACCTGCTTGTCCAGATTTGTGCTGTTTGGTCCCTTAGCCAGGTCACCAGAAACTTCCGTCAACCCGTTTGGAACAATCCGCATGAGCTGTAGTCAAACCTGGGAATGACTGGCGAACGGTCCTGTTGACACGGGCAGTAGTCGGGCAGTGAAGCGAGGAGTACAACTCTCTTGGCCCCTTTCGTTCGCAGCGTGACCCGCCTCCCTCCCGAAGCGGCGCGATCTTTAAGTCTTCGCACCCAGCTTCTCCATACTCATCTCTTTGCAAGCGGCCTAACCAGGAAAAGTACGTAGAGATCACCTTAATTGACATGACATGTTGTTTGGGGGGGGAATTGGGGTGTCCGACACCCCCCCCATGACGACGACGCTCATATCATGAACAGATGGTATGAAAAGGGGTTTTGGGCGTCCAAAAAGGGATGACACGACACGCTCCTTGGTTCGATACGGGGGAGAGGTCCCAGGGGTTCGTCAGAGTTCTACCCAGCACCCGGTTCCGACCCCAGCACGGTCACCTGTTCCTTCGCAGCACCCACCTGTACCCATTCGTAGCACCACACAGCTGGAAGGAACGGAAACATCTGTTGACCAGCGCTGAGCACGGCCTCTTCTTGTCTTAGTAAAACAATGGACCGCCTTACATGGAAGAAAAGGAGATAAAAGGAGTAAGGAAATAACCTGACCGGAATGGGATAAGGTCAGAATCGGTTTTGAACTGGTTCCAACCACTCCCAGAGCTGCAGTAGTACCCTCATATAGACAATGGAAAAAAAAACAGAGAATCACATTCTGTAAGGTCTCTTTGAGTTTCGCGCATGAAAGAACCCAGCTGAACCCAGCTGCGAGTTCGTCGGCCAGATCAAGATCAGGCTTCAGTCGGCCACCGTGATATTCACTCCACCTCAATGACTTAGTAACACATTCCTGGACCTCAGTCATCAGCAAAACCAATGTTGACAGGCTTCATCACACCTCTAGCACAAACCTTACTTACACTTCACATTTACTGTCTAACAACCGCACTATAGCACAACAATTTTGTGCACACTGTGGAGCCTTCAAGGCAGTCATTCGACCATAGGAATACTCTTGGACAAGGAAGTCACTATAAGGCTATAAAGAGTCCTTTCATGCATGGCAGCAAAAACAAACTTTCGACAAACAATGCAATGTTCATCAACGTTCTATTGTACTGGATACAAAGATCTGAATCTAGCTGAATCACAGTTTGTGTGAATTATGCATGCAAACATGCCGGGAAATTGGTGAAATTGCCCTCTCCTCCAACCGTTTGGACTTTTGCTGTTGGATGTAGGGTTGTCCTTTATGCACAGGTTCCTGGGTCCTGGCTTATCCAACGCAATCCCAAACTCCCAAACTAGGCACAAGAGAACACAAATTGAAAACGAGGGCATGAGCTTTATGAAACATTGCAGATGTCAGCCGTAGAAGCCTCTAAAATTCGCAAATGAGGAGCTTGGGAAGGATGAGGTGCCTCCCAAACGTATTTGAGCACTTGGCATTCGATGCATCATACTGTATGGTGCTTGTGTGATGTTTTTGCTACCCTGTGACTGTTGAGGAACACGGCTTGAAGCAACCTGCAACAAATTGATGATCCTGAACAATGAACCTTTCTATATGGTATCTTCTAGCATGACCCCTATACAGCCTGTGCTGCCAATCGTTGTTTGAAGCGCACACCTGCAACAAAGAACAAGCGAGGGAGCAGAGAGTGACACTCAAGATATCAAGGTTCAACGGTTCAACATTTCTTTGTTGGATTGCGAGGTCATCATATGGGTGTGTATTAAAACGAGGAGACCTCCCAGGCAACGACACCCTAAAAGAAAAGAAATGGACCAGTCTGCCCAGCCTTCCGGCCCGGGGGGGGTCCCTATGAAAATAATTGAAAATACACACCCATTTGGCGTTTTTGTGTACATGACCCCCTAGGGATCCAGATGTACCTTCTCAGAAGGTACGACTGGACCCTCCAAACCTACATGACAGTGTCTCCAATCACCTTCTCAGAGGGTATGTGGATCCCTGGGCAACATCACATCAATCCTGTACCTGTCATCACTGCAGTTCCGGCGCCCCCAGGAATCGCGCACGTGTTCGTTCACGATTCCGAACACTGCACGAACGGATGGGTCTAAAAGCCGTGGAGAACTGCCAAGCGTTGGCATCACCAAATCAGACTCCGAATTGCTTCCGTTGTGGTTTCAGCCGCCCACATCCGGTTGAAGTGGATTGGGCGACCGTTCCACCCGAACCGACCTGATTCCTTCTCCTTCCCGTTCGGGGCCGTTCCGCACCCCAACGACGGGCCGACCGCCTGCGGCCCGTCGCTCCGTGGCCAGGGGTCGCCGAAGGAGCTCTTCAGCATCACCCTGCGGCGCCAGGTGTCAGACGGCTTGGAGACACGGCACCTGGGACGTCAAGTGGAGGTTTGAACGAGGTTTGGGGAGGAACCCACCCGAGGGTTGGGCCTGCAGTGCTGCAGGAAACCATGTGGTTCATGTTGCGAGGTTGTTTCTTTTTGGGGGGGTCTCATCTCCAGTCAAACATCGTCAGACCCTGCAAGAGTTGATAGGTAGCTGAAGTTGCACCGGAAACGCCAGTTGGATGGTGCAGGGATAGTTTCGGGTGAACGCCGAGGTTCGTATGAAGACCCAGTCGAGATGAAATTTATAGCGCTATTTTTGGATGTATGGAGATGATGTGTGTATGTGTATGTCAAGGAGGCCTCCTCGACAATGTCTTCGTTTTGGTCTATTACGATGTTTTACATGTTGTTCCATACTTTTTGTTCTACCTGGACCATCTTGTTTGATCCTGTTTGCTGGCTGGAGATTCTGGACACGAGTGGTTTTGGTAGTCCAGCCAGGACACCCAGGTCCGTAGAATTAAAGGTTTGAATCCCGAGCAACCATTGTTTTACTGTGCAACAGATCTTAGACTACAAAACCAGGCCAACCGACCTTAAAAAATATATTGTTTTAATTATCGAATGGAAGGCGAATGGATATATAGACTGAACGTCCCCCCTTGATGCGTGTCTCGCAGCTCCCCCCAAGTTCGAACGTCATGGTGTTCAGCGAAACCACCCGGACGTTCATCCGACCACCCTGAAAAAAAATGGTGAACAAACAAACACCTGCCTAAAGATCCAAACACCCACAAACAAGCTGATATTGCCCCAAACAACCACTTCCTATCTGAAGGGAGGGCCTCAGTTGCCATATTGCACAAACATGCACCAGCCATTTGTTTCCGACTGTTTAGGTTTCCAGAGCGGAGCAATACGACTTGAAGGATTTCGTTATTTAGCCCCCCTTCATCAAAAGAACACCAGCGCCCAACCACAACGCGGACCGGCCAGTACTCCCAGGCCGCCTGACAAAAAATGACGACGCAATGCAAACCAAGGACAAGAATGCGATAGAATGCGGACCAGGGTGGAATCGAATCACCAAAGTCAATGTGCGAATCTCTGCAGAAGCAAAGACAGACAACACCTCCTCTAGTGGGCAGCTGGTCCACTGATATAGTATAAAATATCCCGACTCCGTCGAGCTAAGGAGCAGGCAAATGAGCAGTAGAAACCGTAAGAGCACCCACACACCCACCACACGGCGTGGGATAAAATGCGTTTGGACCCACCAGCGCCCTCCGCCTGGTGGAGATGGAAGTCCACAGGTCGACGACCTTGAAGCCCAGCGCGGCACAGTTTGAAGGGGGGGGGTGCTCCGACTTTGGAGAAACCGGTTGCCGACCAAAGAGCAGGATGCCACAATCCGCTCGGATCTCCTGCTCTTCTTGTGCATCCCCATCAGGTTTCTAGGTTCAAGTCCCAAGTGGTGGTTTATATGGGGACTGGCCAAGAGCAGTCTTGGGGATTTGAGCCAAGAGTTCTGATGGGGATGGGGGTAAATGTTTGGTGAATCCTGCGGCTTGCCAGAACGCCGTGCCCGACTGGCAGATGTGTTACTTGGAGTACCTGGTACTCGATGGTTGGGAGCAGGTAGATCAGCGGATATCATGAGGAGGGTAGAATCCTGGCGAATGTGGAAAACACAAAGGTGGAACTGTGGAACATCTTCTATTTGTATCCTCTATGACTCTATATAGACTCTATAGCATTCACTATACTTATCAGAGAGCCAGCATATGAGATTGAACCGCACTGGGAAATAGCAAACAGTATGACCGCTCCGTCCCAATTTAAATGGCTTTTCCTCAAGACTGCCAAGGAAAGAGGTGCATATTGAACGCCTTGGGGAGAAGGCGCGGTACTGGGGGAAGGCTGCAAGGATTGCCAGGATTCGCAATAATTTGCCAGGCATTGCTCATAGGGCATGGCGCAGCAAACCAGTAACAGTCGGTCAAAGAGAAGATCACTATATATCGTTTTTAATGTCTGCAACGAAAACCATCATCCACTGGGAAATGGGGATAGATAGACCCAAACATTGTTTACGCGGTCAACCTGGTTTTGCTTAATGTTATGTTGTTCCCTTATGGATCAATGCCTGTACCTGGGGAATATGTTTGTTTCCAGGCTCCTGGACGACCTTATGCTGAGCGCGTCCACCGCCCACGTTGGAAGCCGGCCGCGTGTTCAGTCCCGATGTCCGTCCGGTCCTGAAGTTCGACCGTACTGAAGTGGAAGATGTGGAAGACAGTGCTGTTTTTTTGTTGTTTCCTAAATATATGTAATTATATATATATATGTGTGTGTCTTTTTATTTTAGTGTGTGTTTGTTGTTTTTATGTGTTTGAGTAATTATATGTCGTTTATATATAATGGTGTTTGATGTGTTTCTTTGGACCCTTGTTCCTACATTTTTCCCTCAGAATCCGCACTCGATTCAATGGAAAAGGGTTGCAGGAGGGCTCATGCAAAAACCCTGCGACAATGGAGAAGGTCCAAGGAGCTTCTGGGTTTGTTCCTTTTTTCACCATGCCAGTCTCAGACGCTCTGTGAGTAAACACCACCTACTTCCGGATGTCTCAAATCCGATCGGGATGTCTCGATGGCCGCCATACCCCTGAGCCACCTTGGCTTCACCAGCTTCGATCTATTCGAGGACTTCGGCCAAGAACGGGTGGCAGTTTCATGAGATCTTCATCTTGTCCTATTCCCTTTCTGGGAAAGATCATTAGAGTGAGCGGTTGTTTGATTGAGTATGTTTGTCCCGGCTCCTCAAAAGTCATGGCAACACGTGTAGAAATCCCTATAGGATTCAAACATATGTAAAGCTTTGATTTTGCCTAGGATTCAAACATATCCCTAGGATTCAATCATATTCACGGGTAGAAGTCCTAGGTTTGTTTGGTTGTTTTATTGAGGATTTCAGACTACAACACGCCAGGTCAAACATATTTCACGGCCCCTCTTCAGGGCGCCTCGTCCCAGGGTACATCGATGTACATCGGGTGCCGTCCCAGGAAAAAACCGTGCTGTCCCAGCGGTAAAAGAGTATCACTACTCTTGAGAAAGGCTCTCGCGTTCCTGAAGCATCATGATCCACTGGTATATCAAAATGAACTGGGAGATATCAAGAAACCTGACAACTTACATCAACTTACATACCCCAGGGATCCAAGCACCTTCGAAGGCACTTGGACCCTCCAAACCTACATCACAGTGGGTATGTGGATCCCTAGGGCATCCTTGGTTGCAGATGTTGGGGAACGTTGAAGTTTCACGATGCATCCGAACGACCGGGGAGATCACATCAACCAAAATGAGTCGACCCGTTCGTACCTCGTGTTCAATGGGTACGACGTCGTACCTGTTTTTTGGGTTTGTGTCATGGAGCCCATTTTCTCAGGGTACGAACGGTCAGTCGTGTCCAGGAATGAAGAATCGCAAGCCAACCGACTTCGGCCAGCCCACAAAACCTTCTCAAAAGCTGCACCGGGCTGCAGCTCCGCTCCGTCGACTGATCAGGCACCGAGCACCTACCTACGGTCTTTCTCGGTCAAGAGAGGTTGTGCAGATGGTGAAACATCGCATGGTCGGTAGAAGGTCGCAGCGAGGCCAAGAGTCGCTCCATGTGCTCTTCCGAAAAGGATTTGCAAGGTAGTTTTCGTTGTTTCTGCTTCCGAAACGCCTATTCACGCTATTCGCTTCGCATTGGGTGAAGACTATAGCTCACAAAGCCTTGCGACCTTTATTTCATATGCTTTCTTGCAAGTTGGTTTCTGAAACCGTAAGCTGTCCATGGGACATACACTCCCCATGAAATGTGCTGTTTGATCACACGGGTGAACCCCGCTGTTCTGTTTGTGTGGCTGTTGCCTTCCCTATATAGCTGCAGGCTCGGCTTAGGTGACTGTCGCTTTGAGGGGTGTTTGGATCAGCGCCCTGGAGTGGGCCAGAGAAGTGTTGAAAGACATGACGGATCAAAGGCCTTGTCCTACAAATTCCAGTTCAATCATGCCCGATCCTCGAAGCATGACTGGCAGGTGCGTCGCAACTGACATTGAGGCAGATTGAGTTTGCATTTAGCACAAGTGATTAGCGGTGTTAATGAGGCAGACATAAGCACGCGTGGCAACCACCATGAGCAGGCGGCGTACTCAGCTTTCCTTTTTCCGAGTCAGTGTTGCACACAAAGAACAGGACTTTGCACTAGGAACCACCGATGCCTCGCCCAATGCACTGCCAATCGCGCGCTTCAACCCAGGTATATGAAGTTTAAACGTAATGAAAAGTATGAGCAGATGCCAAAAACATCGTCCTGAGCACTTGTAACGAATCCTCAGCAACATATACCTATCTCTGATTGAAGACTTTGAGAGGTAGTGATTTAATTTCATGGGAAGTGAGAAGGCCAAAGGGGACATGTTATGGGGCGTGTTGTTCTTTTACTATGTCATGGCACTTCGCAGCCACCCGTAGCCAGGCGTGACACTTCTGCAACTTCTCTCCACCTGTAGAAGTAGTAAAGCAAAGGAACGACAAGACACAAAACTTGACGGTGGTGTGTTGTGGGTTTTTTGCATGCGAGGGTGCCCTCAACAAGTCTATGCCAATCAGCCAGGAGTTGGATGAGGAACAAATTTGTTCCCTGCGGCGCCTGCGGCTATCAGCGTTCGGGACTTGGGAGCCAGGCGAGAGTCGTCAGCCGTCAGTGGCTTCGGCGCAGACAGACGGACCATAATCGGTTGCCCAATGGAACTGATCCTCACTCAGTTGAAACAAGTAGTGGATGGAAAGGGTTTCGATATGTTTCGATATATGTTTTGATGTCCACTATAACCTTGGGGACGCCAACCATTTGGACCTGGATGGCAATCACGTGTTGAGATCAATTTGTTGTTTGCATATCTCCGAGCCTGCGCAAATCGCCCAGGACGCTCAGCATGCAGGAATCACCCCAATTCGAGGTGAGTCGTTAGCCAGACTCTCCATGTATGGCATATATTCCCGAATGCGTAGCGAAGGGTTCTTTAACTCTTGGGGGTCTGGGGGTAGAGCATTGTTCGCGATCCGTTGTTTCTACGTCCGCAACCGTCCGCAACCGTTCGCAACCGTTCGCAACCGTCCGCAACCGTCCGCGGTAGAGCGCTAAAAGGCGCTATTGGGGGAAGCTTTTGCAAGTGACTATTCATGGATGTGTCACGTGTCACAGTTTGCACCGCTATTCCATTGTGATTTGCGTGAAAAAGACATGTCGCGCAAGCAACGTGATGCGTCTCGCTGCACAGGCGCAGCGTTTGGTGAGATCTGCAGATTGCTGCGCAGTTCCATTGGGATTAGCGTTTGGAGAGTCGTGTTTTTGGGGTGTTGGATGTGGCCATGCCATTGGGATTTGCGTTTCAGGGTGTGGCATCGAAGCTCTGTTTTCGTGACAAGTCTCAGCTGAAATGCTGATTTTGGTGGATGGGAGTATGCTCAGAACGGGTCGAAATCATTCCAAACGTGTGGTGTGGTGCAAATTTTGTGTGGTAGGCGCAGGAAATCGTGAGGTTGCGAGGTGTGACGGAGGTGACCTGTCGTGGCAGGCGCAGTACTTTGTGCGCGTTAGACGTGTGGATGCGGAAAGATTCGTGGCAGGCGCAGGGAATCGTGAGGTCGTGAGTTGTGGTGGAGGTGAATGTCGCTGTCACATTGGGATTGGCGTGTGAACGGGTGTTGTTTGGAGGGGCTGGAGTCGCGAAACTGCTTGGCAGGGCTGCGTGATGTGTGTGCTCCGATGGGTGCTGCCGCTGGACTTTTGGAGGAAGTCTCGTACGAAATTCTCGTTTGATTTTGACGTGTGAGTTTTGGAGGAACTCTCGTACGAAACGCTCGTTTTGGAGACTTGACGCGTGACTTTTGGAGGAAGTCTCGTACGAAACACCCGTTTTGGAGACTTGACGTGTCCCACAAGAGTGTCCTACAAGAGTGTCCCACAAGAGTGTCCTACAAGAGTATCCCACAAGAGTTTCGTACAAGAGTGTCCCACAAGAGTGTCCCTTAAGAGTGTCTCGTGGCAGGCGCAGGGAATGGTGAGGTTGCGAGGTGCGACGGAGGTGACATTTCGTGGCGGGCGCAGTACTTTGTGCGTTAGACGTGTGGATGCGGAAAGATTCGTGGCAGGCGCAGGGAATTGTGAGGGTGTGAGTTGTGGTAGAGGTGAATGTCGCTGTCACAGTGGGATTGGCGTGTGAACGGGTGTTGTTTGGAGGGGCTGGACTCGCGAAACTGCTTGGCAGGGCTGCGTGATGTGTGTGCTCCGATGGGTGTTTCCGCTTGACTTTTGGAGGAAGTCTCGTACGACATGCTCGTTTTGGAGACTTGACATGTGACTTTTGGAGGAAGTCTCGTACGAAACGCTCGTTTTGGAGACTTGACGTGTCCCACAAGAGTGTCCTACAAGAGTCCCACAAGAGTGTCCTACAAGAGTATCCCACAAGAGTTTCGTACAAGAGTGTCCCACAAGAGTGTCCCGCAAGAGTCTCCTATAAGAGTGTCCCACAAGAGCCCACGAACCCGAATGCAAACACATATGTCAATCCACTGTGTATAGAAAGAGACACAGCCGGTTAGAGTCTCTTTTTCACGCTCCGGCACGCTGTTGGACATCATGCGCTGGGGACTCCACCACCAAGGCAGCATGTGCTGGGGACTTCACCACCAAGCTCCGTCTTCGTCATGAAGGGTCTTCGTTTTGCATTCAAATCAAGCACTGGCGTAAAGGTTCTGGCAGATCCACATCACGAAAGAAACAATGGCATTGTCCCAAAATCTCGAAAAGAAGCACTTGAAAATGATAACCGTCCACATAATACAGAGAAATCCACAACTGCGGCGTCTGATCTTCTTGTAAATAGGAGTGCAAGACCGTGCGTTGTTGTGTTTCACCTGCGTCAACAAGAAGTATATGAGACACACACAACGGAAGTGAGTAAAACTATCCTACAGGTCATGTCATTAGTCCAACATTGGCATCGGTCCCGTATGTGCGTGCACACTCTTGTGGGACACTCTTGTAGGACACTCTTGTGGGACATTCCTGTAGGACACTCTTGTGGGACACTCTTATAGGACACTCTTGTGGGACACTCTTAATACTTGGACCCAGACGTCTGTTGTTCGAGGCCCTGGTGACACATCTAAAAACGTTTAGAATTGTATATAGTTCATCTCCTTTCGAGCTCGTGTGTACGAAAAATCCATACGAATGTTGGACTAATGACATAACCTATAGGACAGTTTTACTCACTTCCGTTGTGTGTGTCTCATATACTTCTTGTTGATGCAGGTGAAACACAACAACGCACGGTCTTGCACTCCTATTTACAAGAAGATCAGACGCCGCAGTTGTGGATTTCTCTGTATTATGTGGACGGTTATCATTTTCAAGTGCTTCTTTTCGAGATTTTGGGACAAGACAATGCCATTGTTTCTTTCGTGCTGTGGATCTGCCAGAACCTTTACGCCAGTGCTTGATTTGAATGCAAAACGAAGACCCTTCATGATGAAGACGGAGCTTGGTGGTGAAGTCTTCAGCGCATGCTGCCTTGGTGGTGGAGTCCCCAGCGCATGATGTCCAACAGCGTGCCGGAGCGTGAAAAAGAGATTCTAACCGGCTGTGTCTCTTTCTATACACAGTGGATTGACGTATGTGTTTGCATTCGGGTTCGTTGGCTCCATCTTGTGTTTTTTTTCGTAGTGGCTGAAAAAGGGGTCAATGTAGGCATATATACCATTAGAGGGTTTGGGTGGGTTGTTTAGATTTTGTAATCGGTTAGGTTTGTGAAGCGTTATACTTGATGACTTGATTGAAGGCACAAATACCTGTAGGACAAGGAGGGCAAAGGTCATGTTTTCCAGTATGGCTTCATTGTTGGGGAACAGATCGCACCACAATGCGTTAACAACATGTTGTCACCTCATGTCGATAGAAACCGGGTACATATTGGTTCACTGGTTCGTGTAACGCTATCGGCCCGTCGGCACTCGATCTGAAGATTTGCCATTCAGCCACAGAAAAGATCAAAACGTTAAACCACTTGGAACAAGATCCAAAGACATGTTCAAAGTGTTGCAAAATCACCCTTCTTCTCTATATACCAAGAATACCGTTCATCCCCAATAAGTAAATTCTCAGCCTCCTCGCACCCACCTCTCGTGACACCAGGCGCACGGCTCCGGGAACTGGTTTGGACCGGCAGCTGTTACCATTTCTTCGTTCGCCTCGGTGTGAATGCCCGGGAGTCCTTCCAGCTCCTCCAGGAGTCCTTCGCGCGCCAGTCCGCACAGAGCCTGGCTGTGAGTCATGGCACCCGTAGTTTCAACCCTTGGCTCATTTTGGTAGGTTGACCTTCCAGGTAGTCTATTTTGTTCATTTTCGGTCAAGCAGGGTCCGCTATGGAGAGGGGTCCTGCTTGGCACAGCTAGAACCACAGATGCGTTACAGCATAGCCTCGCATAGTGTTGGCAACAGGCTTATTCACCGATAGAAACTGTTTGGCACAGAAATGGTAAATAGGTTCATGGTTTTCCCAGTAAATGGTGTGTATTTTCCACGTTTCGATGGTTTGTAATGGTAAGCATTTGGATCTTTTGCCAGCCGCAGCATGTCTACCAGATGCACAGGGCAGGGGCCTGGCAGGACAGAAAGTTGACCACCGATGAGGTGTTCAATATTGCTGAGTTGAGGAATTCACCAGTTGTTTGGTGGAAAAGCATGTGTGTACCTTTGAGCTCATATATATTTTCTGAGTCCAACTCAATTTTTCAGAATCCGTCAGTCGACATATAAATTGATGTGTTTGTTGTCCTCCGGGCGTTATTTGGGACATGTTTCCCCAACAATCTATGTATTCAATATTTACCTTTAAAACAGCCCAACGCCGCAACACATAGTGCTTGGGGGTCCAGACCCCGGAGTTTCGCCCCCCTGCCATGGGGATTCTTAGGGTAATTTATCTTTGGGTCTGTCCAATTGCCTGTAGCAGTCAGTAAACAATCGGCCTTTACTCACCATCATCATCCACTGTTACTGGTAGTAGGATAGGCCCAAAAATTACATTTCTTTTCAGTGGTCAGTCTATCTTCCCGGTGACAGCCTGCACTGAGACTTTCCTTGAGCATGACCACTCCCATGTTCGAATACTCCGCTATTCGTTCCACATGAAACCCCAAAACGACTGGGTCCCGGGTTGGTATTCGGAAAATGGTCGAAACCTTCTCAGGTTGTGAGACCCCATGTGGCTTCATAATGGCTTTATACAATAGGATCTAGATAAGGCCTTAGGTTGTTTGGGTTTGGTTTCTGTTCTTTTTCATCGAATCAACGGCGCCATGTCATCACAGCGACCTGAACGCAGGACTTTAGCTGGCACCATGTGATCCACCCCAGCGCCCCTCGACGCGCCGGAACGGTTCCAGGTACCTGGTCACCCGAGCCACGGGCGGTAGCTTGAGCTACCTGAGTTCTCCTTGCTTTAGCAAACATGTTTTACAATCAGGAGTTGGGATTGTGCATTGAGTTTGGTCCTGTAAGAGATGATCTCAAGTCCTTTTTCAACAACTAGCAGGGGCCCGATCACCCATGTCCCATGAAAAACAAAGGTGTTCACCGACAAAAACCAGGTTTTGCGCTAGGGAAAACCAGGTCTTGGATGGGCCATGTGGGGCCCCCCCTGGTAGCCAGTTGTTCGGTAAAGACTATTGAATTTCTGGGTCCATTTGTGTTTATAAACTATACACTGCGGTTTCAGGGCCCTATGTAGACACATATGAATTATATCAGAGTGCTCGGGAGCGGTTGATGGCGCTCCAAAAAAAAGGATCAACAAACAAAGGTGAAGGTCTGACATGGCCTGAGATCTTTAGAGATCCGTCTCTTTGGGCTGAGAACACGAAGCTTTGGCATTTCTAGTTCCAGGTGATTGGCATTTCTAGTGCAAGAATGGGAGCCATTTGGACGAAGTCTTCCCTTCTTCCGGGTTGAACAGGGGGGGGGTCGATCTGGGAGGCCAGAAACACGCACTTTGAGCGACGCGTGTCTCTCCTTCTAGCACTTCTTCAGCCATTGGTCTAGCCAGTCGCCTACATTTTAGCATTTTTCACCCAACTCATGTTGCTTTGCCGCTCGAGGTGGCCAATGCCCGGCCCAGCTTGGAGCATTCCGTCTTTTGGCGGCGCTTCTAAAGGAAGTGTGGCCATGGTGGAGGGAGTGTGGCCATGGCCGTGGTCGCCAGGTAGGTGTCACGTTGGGTCAAAGATTGACCAGAGAAAATCCACATAGCCTCTGAGAAGGTGATTGGAGACTATCTATGTAGTCTTGGAGGGCTCAAATACCTTCTGAGACGGTATGTGACTCCATAGGGATAGACTACCTGGAAGGTCAACCCACCCTGGAAATCCGGGTGTTGATCCACAGCCTTGTGAGCACATGTGGACACTTGGGATGTGTTGGGTTTGGAATGTGAATTTTTTGGGTGGCTGAAAGCATACCATTGAGGACAGGGCTTCGTGTCGCATCCTGGCTTGTTTGATTCGGATGAGTCATACCTGGAGTCGACCCGTGAAGTTTGTACCTCAGAAAATGGGCCCTATAGTATACTATAGTCGTACTGTGTGTGTGTTTTTTGCCCAAACAGTGTGGGCACACTGAGGGGTTCTTGCGGTAGGGGAAAGGAAGCTGATGCTTAGATCGCTGAAGCGCGCGGGCGTGACCGGCTAATTCGCTGCTATTTACAGTACATTCATGCCTCTCGACATCGTCCATGTGCACTTCGACTGCGCAGGCTCGCAGAATCTGGGGGCCCGCGGCGGGTGCTTCCAGCGACTGCGCTCTCGTTGTGGCGCCGTGCGCATTTTAGTACATGGTGGTCACTTTTCGTGGCAGGCGCAGGGGAAACCTTGTGGCTTGGTGCTCCAAAGTCGACTTTTCGTGACAGGTGCAAGGGATCGGAGGTGTTTTACTTCGAAATGCAGTTTTCGTGGCACGCGCAGCACTTTGGACATGGTGGTGATCCTCGAGGAGCTCAGATTTCGCGACAGGTGCAGTGAATCGTGACTTTTGGACATGTGGCTCGTTTGCAGATTTCGTGGCAGGCACAGCACTTGGTGAACCTCGAAGTGCAGATTTCGTGGCAGGCACAGCACTTGGCGAACCTCGAAGTGCAGATTTCGTGGCAGGCGCAGCACTTGCATGGTGAACCTCGAAGTGCAGATTTCATGGCAGGGCAACGCTTGGTGAACCTCGAAGTGCAGATTTCGTGGCAGGTGCAGCACTTGGTGAACCTCGAAGTGCCGATTTCGTCGCAGGCGCAGCACTTGGTGAACCTGGACGTGCAGATTTCGTGACAGGTACAGCACTTTGTGAACCTCGAAGTGCAGATTTCGTGGCAGGCGCAGCACTTGGTGAACCTCGAAGTGCAGATTTCGTGGCAGGCGCAGCACTTGGTGGACCTGGAAGTGCAGATTTCGTGGCAGGCACAGCACTTGGTGAACCTCGAAGTGCAGATTTCGTGGCAGGCGCAGTACTTTGTGCTCTCAGACGCTCACTCTCTCACTCTCCCACTCTCACCCGCCTACTTTCACTCACACTCACACTCCCTCACACTCCCGCACTCACACTCACTCTTCCACTCCCACTCACTCCCATTCGCAGACTCCCACTCACACTCGCACTCACACTCACACGCACACTCACTCACCCACACTCACTCTCACACTCACTCTCACTCACACACTCTCATTCACTCACTCTCACTCTCACTCTTTGGACCCCAATGCGTCTAGATCTCTAGACTCTAGACATTCAGCGTCACATCGAGACCCTCGAGGATTTGGAACGTGTGTGGCAGCGGCTTTTCCTGGCGACCTCCGACCCGCCAGGTGACGAGACGGCAGTCCCGGGGCATCGTGACGTTCACCGAGCTCGCAGCCGTTCCCCTCGATGTGATGATCCTTGAGTCGGCCCTGACAAGTGAGCCGGATTCTTCCGCCTTTCAGGTGATAGATCCAAGCACGGATCATCGAAGTCTCATGTCTCGCACCTTTTGCCGAGTCCAAAATTCCGGGCACCCGAGCCAGCTCAGTGATACCATTTTTCGTTTCGCTTCGAACTTGATAGTCATTTGCCACTTGTGTATCGAAGGCTTTCATCTATTTGGACTCTTTGTTCGATCGCTTTCTCTTCTTCAGAAAATGGGGATTCTGGGGTTTATGTCTTCTTTCGTTGAGGGGACAAAGGGGGTCGGGACTGAGCAGCTGAATGTCACAATGATTGTGGACAGTGGGAGGGATCGACATCTTAGCCAAGCTGCAAAGGGAGCAATTTATGAGATTTCGAAAGCCTTCGCGAAATTTGTGAGGAAGATCCACTCATCCCGAGAAAGGGGTTCTTCTTTCCGAGACAAAACCTGGCCTGAAAATTTTCGCAAAAGGGTACTTGGATGGAAGAAAAACTCCTTCCTACTTTCCCGAGATCTACGTGCGAAGGTTCAATGACGACGCGGGGGCATCGCTCAGAGGATCCCAGTGGATCTTGAGTTTTGACGGAGATGCGCGAAATGGAGAAGAGCTTGGGGAAGTACAGGAAAATTTCCTCAACGAAATCCGGGAGATTGCCTCCAATTTAATCCTGATATGCAAGCACAACTGCGCAATCATCTGGAAACTGGTGAAGAAGTACCAGATCTTTGCGTGAATCCAAACGCCTCTTCGCAGAGTTCGTTAGGAGTTCAGAGGTCGTGCTTGCCAGGGGGGTACAGTCACCTTTGAGTGGCCAAAAGGTTGTGAAAGCTGGTCACGTCATGATGTCAAGTCATTCTTCGATGCACACCCACAATTTCAACTAGTAGAATTCGACGGATGTGCGGTAGGTGTCCGATCCACAAAGGGTAGGCCCATAAAGAAAACATGGCGGCTCATGACAACGAGCCGTGCATTCTCACAACACAAGTGCGCTCATTCGCCGCATGAACATGACCATGCTGTTGGTTCGCAAACGGAAAAAACCGCCTTTTATCCACCGCAGATGGTTTGGGAGATCGCTCGAGCTTTGTACCCACAAAAGGTTCACTCAGCCCCAGCCCCAGCCATGCCACGTGTAGTCCCAGCCGCTGCCTCACAACCGCTAAAGCATGTCTCCGCTCTGGCGGGAGCCGACACTTTCGCGCTAGCTGTTGAGACCGACGAGGTCGATGACCAGATGGCCGAGTGCCTCATGGATCTAGAGACCTTGGTTTGTGATGCTTTCGATATTCCCGATAGTCCTAAACATAGTGATAGGGTACATGCAATGGTCACTAAACTGCTGTCCAGGGCAGAAATGCTCGCAAACCCCAAAGCTATCGAACAGGTCAAGGAGGAGGGCATCCTTAACCGATATTGGTACATGGGACCTCGAATCCGTTATAGGGAATACGAGTCAGTAAAAGACGAAGCCAAAGCTAGCAAAGTCTCGGTCCATTTTGGTCGCCTGATGACCATCGCGTCGAAAAAGTTTTGGGAGCTTGCGGAGCATCTCCAGAAAATGAAAGGACGCATTGTTTATCGTGACTGCGCTAGAGATGAGAACGGCGCTGCGGCCGTATATGAGGAGTTGGGCGCCAACCCAACCTCACTGCAAGGCCTAAATGCCTGCCTGGCATATGGATCACTGCCAGGGCATTCCTGCACAGCTGCTGACGCCGTCAAGCCGTATGTCCAAGCGTTTTTAAAGAGTAAATACAAGACGTGGATAGAACTCCCACCAGAGCTCCGCCCGGAGTGGTGGAAGGGCAAATTTGTCCGACCTGTCGTATTACTCGTTACAAATTTGAGACGGATGTCTCCCAAAGCCCCGTGGAAGCAGACCTCTCTGTCTCCAGGGCCACCTGGGTTCTGAATAACAAAAGCCACGAGGCGGGGATCCTCGATTCGACTTTGACCCTGGTTGTCTCGCCAGATTCGATGTTTTGGAAAGGATCGCTGAAGCCATCTCGGACGATCTCCGCTCAGAAGAATCCATTTTCCGCCGGACTTTTGTTTGCACGGAAACCTCTCCGGAAAGGCCTCAGAATGTCGTGACAAAGCTCTCTTTGGTGCTCCTTCCCTATTTTAAAGTTTTGCCTTTGGGCCTTGTGTCTCTGGATCAGGGGGTGATGGGAACAATTTTCACGAGGAATTCCATCGTGGAAACTTACAAGAGGAGAGGGGCCGCGGACGCCGAGCACCTCTTGACCCGGATCAGCGAGCTGGGCTTTGAGGCAGCAGCTAGAAGCTTCGCAGAGAGCTCACCATCGAACAATGCAAGATTTCGAGGAGTTGAAACAGTTCCAGCACTTCCAGACGTATGTGGCAGCCGGAGCTCATGGGCCAATCCTTCACTCTGGCAAAGACAAACGAGAGGAAGCGAGGAGTGCTGCAGATTTGAGAAGAGCTCGGACGCGAATGGTGGAATCGCATGGGCCGACTCCGGTCCACATCCAGGAGCCCAAGAAGGGAGTCGGATTCCCAGGACCTGACGAAGCTGAGTTGAGTTTTGCAGATACTGGCAGGAGCAAGTTACGGAATGGTTCGTCCAGCTTTTACAGGTGTTAGGCGCCAGAATGAAGGCTGCCCTACTTGTCGACTGGGAGGACGCTTTCAGTTGTTTCACTTTAGACTTGGATTTTGCTTCAGGGATTCTCTCCAGAACATCCAAGGTCAGTGAGTTGTCATTCCTAGATGATCGAACAAGGCCAGGGAGGAGGACTCACTACGATGTGTTTCAAGTAAGCTGCAATTTCAGCGGTACAGGACCTTGCCATTTGTTAGCAGGCGACGTTGAATTGCATACTTTCAATCATAAGTATGAGGTGTTTGTTTGATCCTTTTTGGACTGCCTCTAACCGTTGGTTCGAAACTACGCTCGAGCCAATTCCGCATTCCGGTCGTCGTGATTGTGCATACACGCTTATTCTGTCTTTTGAGACAGAGATACATTGCTGAACAATGTGAAACGAAACCGTATCTCAGGTTTTCTGAGATATGTCAAACACAGCTTGCGCTGTTGTACGTTTTTCTGGAGGAATGGTAGCAGGCTCCCGGCACCTTTGGAAGGTCCTACTAAGCATGCTCAAAAGCCATGGGCATATGTGATGCATGAGCCAGCTGACAAACCTTTGCCCGTGCACAGGGACAGTTTAGTCATCCAGGAGGCAGTGATGTCAGCTTTAAAGAGCTTTGTGCCACCCAAAAGGGAGGCTGACACGTATGGCCTGCGTTTCAGCAGCCATTGCCGTTAGATGAAGTCTTGAATTCCTGTACATGCTGATTGAGGAGCCAGCCGAAATTTGTGAGACTCTGAGACAGATCCTTAAGCAACTGCTTGCTCGGGTCAAAGAGACATCCCAAGAGTTGGAGCCTCCGGATCTGTTCACTGAATCAGGTCGACAGGCAATATCCTTTTCTTCCATTAAAGGGGGACCTTCAGGAAGCATTAGAAAGTGTGTGCGCGATTGAGGGAACCAGGGACCATTGTCACTGTAATTTCACTTGACGTCATGGTGAGCGCTAAACACGGAGACCTTTGTGATTCGAAGCAACAGGAAGCAATCCTGGTTTTGATCCTTCAGGGCAGTGGCAGGGGGGGTTCGCCGGACCCCCCTGTGAAACATGGTCCATAGCTAGGTTTCAGAACATAGCAGGTCAGAAGAAAGCTCCGCGACCGGTGCGTGACCTTGCCAATTTATGGGGGCGACCAGACGTAGGAAAGCATGAGGGAGAGCAACTGGAAGTTGGGGATGCCTTGATGGCTTTCGCCTTGCTTGCTTTGACGAAGATAGCTCTTGCTGGGGGTCTCGCTGTCCTCGAGCATCCACAGAGCCCGCACAGCCTTGGCGCAAAACATGTGACAGCTCCCACAATTTGGAGAACGCAGGTGGTTCGATGGCTTCATGAAATTGGTAAGAGGTAGCACATTGAAGAGCAATCGCGTACAACGCGATGTCCGCAAACGGCCTCCATTGGCTTAGAGAAAGGCAAGTCGAAGACGAGCTCTTGGAAAGAGTATCCTCCTTGCTTTTGTGTTTATTTAGCTAAGCTCTTTGAGGCCTGGTTGTTGCGGAGAACAGGGGAAGCGGCCCCAGCCCCAGATAATGTGGAGTGGCTGCGGGAGATGCACATTGGCAAAGCCGATGTCCGATGTGCATGGGGCTGAAGGGCCGGACTTCCACCGTTTTAATTAGATGGAATTCAGCGTGCGAGGCGTTGAGTCTACGGACACTTCGCGCTACAAGAAAGAAAAAAAAGAAAAAGGATGGTGTGTAGTGACTGTGTTTTCGATCCCTCGCCGGTCCATCACTCAGGGCACTCACCGGGCCGAACCCATCCGTAGCCGACAAGTTGCAACGAAAAGCGAAAAGAAACGACCTGACATGTTGACCAAAAAGTGTTGCATATATACCTTACGGTATATGCCGGTATGTTGTAAGTATATGTCACACATCTAGTGTAACTATTCAAAGAACAACACCTGAAAAGTTCATAACATGTCCAGCATCTCCAACATTTCATCCAGAGTCATTTTTCAGGCGAAAGGGTCAACAAATTGCCTATACCCCTAGGGCTCCCTCCAGTCGTACCTTCGTTTCGATTTTTTTTGCCAGGAGGGTCATGTCATACCTTCGTTTCGGTACGACTTGTGCCCTTTTGCCCGGTACTGTTTCATTCATGCAGGTGCTGGGGCCCAAAGCTGGCGACCGCGGCCTCAACTGGACCATTGGCCCCCTGGACCGCAAGGAGTATCGAAGCACCGTGGGTTTTGGTGTCGGCCCAGTGATTTCGCTGTGGGTCACACCGGAAAAAAACTGGTTAATCAACAAAAATGACGAGAACAGGCAGGTCCTTGAGGTTAAACCTATCAACCAAATATCGGATATATACCAGGACCATCCGTTCGAGGTTTTTTTAAAAGACTTGTAAAGAGCAGAAGGGGTATCCAAAAACCACCTGTTTGATACAACCACTGGTCATAATCTGAGTTTGTCCTATCAACTGTAACAGGCAGTAAACAATTAACACTATTTTGAGCAAAGCCTTTGCTAGCCATCATCATCCACTGAGGCCCTGGTAATAGGATAGACCCAGAAGGTATGTATATATATAGGGATATATAGGGTGTATAGCCCAGTAAACCGGTCGAGCCGTCGGCAAAAGGTGATCACTATTTTGGAGAAAGACCAACTGCTATACCATATATGTCCTAGCCTTCCGTTCGACCATGAAAAAACGGTGGCAACATGTGGCGACGACTCAATCGCCTTCCGACACGGGGTAAGGCATTTTGTTCTTGAATTTTTGCAGGAAAAATGGTTCAACTGGGTCAACTGTTGATGGTCAACTGGGCATTGGGTCAATCCTTTGGCATGGGGAAGATGTCCTTCTTTTTCCCGGTTCCGGACAGCAAATCCCAGTACCTGGAGTCTCAGTTGTTACATCGGAAAATGAGTGCAGCCGTACCTGTTGTTTGTTCAGGTCAAGTCCCATTCTCTAAGGTACGAACGGTCAGTCGGGTCCAGGGACCCAGTCACGTTCGACGGGGTGCGATCCATGGAGGTTCGGGGTGCCCCGACGTCACATCCGGATGGGACGAGCCACACCACCCCGTTGAACGTGACTCCAGGTAGTTCCAACAGAGATTAGGTGACCTGAACTAGGACCCTACTGGAGTACCTATGGGATAGTCTATAGGGTCCTTCAACCTCTGTTGGTTGTTCAGGTGTTGTTTCCTTTTGTCAGAATCCTTGACCGCCGAGCTCTAAGAAAGGGACGGACCTCAAGGAAGGGGTGGACGGACCCGAAACAAGCCCCCCTCGGTGTTTGGATCCGAGACGGGCTGTTTTCTGTGTGTTTTGTATTTATTACATCATGAATGTGTAATCCCCAGCGACCATCAAAAACAGATTGACCTGGTTTTGTAGTCTAAACTCCGCAAGAAGAAAAGACATGTGGTTGCAACCATCAACTCAGTGGTGGAAGCCTAGTCAGGCGGATCAAGTTTTGATTTGTGCATGTGAGATGGCGTGCCGCAACCAGACCGGTGTGCGACCAGGAGACGGGCGGTTCCCTCCTCTACGCTCAACCATAAGGGAAAAGAACACATTATATACCAGGGGCCCCACAAACCATCCAAAACCGGGGTTTCCCTAGCCAAAAACCTGGCTTTTGTATGTGAAAACCTTTGTTTTTCATGGTTTTGAGGGCCCCTGGTACAACATATAAACCCGACAGGACTGACATATACCAGGGCCCCCGGATAGTGATTAATGGATACCCCTCAACCTCTAAGGAGCTATAATTAGACCTCCCTTATAAGGGCCCTGGTATACCCCCACACGACTGGGGGAGTTGATTTGGTCCAAGGGCTCTGAGGACCGGGACCCATGGAGGGTGCCGTCCATGCATTGAGTCCAGGTGGCGCGATCCGGTGCCGGGCTCGTCACATTGTACAGCCGGATGGGACGAGCCACAACACCCAACTCCATGTGAGCTCAGGAGTCTGTGATCCGATGGGACGACCCGTCTCCACAACTCATCGACTCGTCTCTCACCATCTGTCCAGTCGCCGCAGGAGGGCGAAATGTGTGTTGGAACCGCGAGGTTCTCTTCGCGGGTTCTCCACGTTGGCCCATGGTTCTTCCAGGGTTTGTGGATTTGAGGCTGCTGTTGTTTCATGTGTTTGTTTCCTTATGGGCGGCCTCTAAGGGGCTATTGACAGACACCTCTTGGAGGTCCTGGTGGTGGTTGTTTCGTGTTTTTGTTTGGGTTCGACAGCAAATCCAAGTGAGGCCTGGATGGATATGAGAAGCCAGGGGACATCTTCGACGCTTGGATCAGTCGATGGGTGTCACTGCGGGGCACAGCGTCCACAGCTCGGGGAAGCCAAGGTCTAGGACTCCAGTGGTACATTCTGACCATGCAGGTTTTTGGAATGGGTTTGGAGGGTCCAAATACCATGTGAGGAGGCACTTGGAGCCCTAGAAAAGTATATGTGATTGTAAAGATCTGAATTCAGGGGGAAGTCAATAGACTGAACGCGACCCACTCACCCACTCTGGCGCCCAGTCCAATCGGGAAGAGTCAACACAGGCGCTCGGTCCGGATTTCAGGGTCCGGACATGTCCCATGGCGTTTCGGTCCCGAACCAGGTCGGATCCTGGTGGACTCGGATCCGGTTTTGGATGCAGAAACCCAGCCGACTCGCCTTCGCCTTCGTGCGGGTCCGACGCACCAGCTGGGTCCCTTGGGAAGCTCCGCACGCAGCGTCCTATGCAGCACTGGGTGACGTAACTTCGCCCGAGAAGTTGGAGTGCTGAGTTGTTGGAGATGTCTTCTGTCAACGATCAGAAGAACAGCACGCAGCACTCCAAAGAATCCTTGATGGGGTTGAACACTTCTTCCCATTTCACGGTGGAAGTGGGTTCTTGGTGCTTCCCATGGGTGGGTTTTCACCAACTCACGTATCCAAGTACCAAGCGCGTGCCGCGGACAGTTTCACGTCCTTGGTCACGGGTCGCGTTGGGTCGTTGGTCGACGGTTTCACGCCTTGATTCGGGTCGACCTCAGGTCACCCACCTGTTCTGCCGGCTTCTCCATGGTGTCGGTGTTGGTGTAGACAGCATCCAGACACTCCATGGAATGATGCCATAGAAAGAACACAATAACTACATTGAGTTGGTTTCAGGGGTCAATGTAATAGGCACATAAGGCACATATGATTTACATTGATTTACCCATACATGGAGTGTTTGGGGTAGTTGCTAAAGTTGATCTCCGTTTGTCCAATAGACCCTGGATCTCAGTTTCCACTCGCAGTAAAACAACACTTTGGCACCTTCTTATAAGAAGGTACGACTGAGACTGGAGCCCCCTAGGGAAGTGGAGGATGGTGTGGTGTGGCCTGAATCATCCAAGATTACGCCCTCCGTGAGTGAAGACGGTCCTACTTCCGATCCCTCAAAATCAATCGGGATTCCGGGTTGTGCTTAATTATGCATGTATTTTCTATTTTCCCTACATCCATGTAAATCCCCTTCTATAGAGACGATTATGTGTTTGTTTCCTGGTTCCTTAAGCAAGTCCAAGGATTGGTGAGAACCCCCAGATTCACACAGGTGAGCGCAGGTAAGGTCTCGGTCTCCCTCGGGTCCCTGAACAATGAAGAAGATCCAGCCGGGGTTGTTGCATGTCCTGGTTTTGCTTAAGGGGATTTGTTATTGTCCCTACAATCCGGGGCCCCAACAAACCATCAAAACCCTGGTTTTCCCTAGCAAAAAACTTGGTCTTTCTATGTGAAAACCTGTTTTTTTGTATGGTTTGGTTCGGGCCCCTGGATTATATACACCAATTGGACAGTTGTTGGCGCAACTCCAAACAATTAGTGGCAACGGCCGCGCCATGGATCGCCGTTTCCTCGCTATTTGGCAGTCATAGATGGCGCAACTACTATTTGGATTGCAGAACAGCAAAATCCTGTGGGAGGTCTGTGCGGATACTAGTTTGCCCTATAGATGGCCCAATGGCTATAAGTGTTGATGTTCTTTCGATTCTTTTTTATGTCCTTTGATTCCTTTGGACTTCCTTTTACGGAGGCCCATAAGATGGAGCGGTCCCCATCTCCGCTATTTTCTGCAACTTTAGCCACATGACCATCCAAACCGTCCTTTTTTTTGGCCACGGGGCGCATAGATGGCGCAACACAACTGAATGCCATACCTAAACCTGGCGCAATAAAAACAAGTCACCCTCATCAACTTTCAAATCGGAGTAGGTATACTATATAGGTATACATGCTCTTCTGTGGATTTCTGGGGAATGTATATGTTGTTTTTTTTTTCAGCTTCCTCAGGCAAATCCAACATGTTTCATGTCCTTTCTGCATTCTGTTCGCTTCTTACTGGTAGCTGTTTGGCGTCCCCAGAAGCCCAGACCTCACCAGGGGCGAGTCTTGGGTAGGCAGGGCAGTCGGTCCTTTGACATGGCTCTGTTTGAAGGACCGTGGCTCTGAGATCCGCCCAGTCCATGGACTGGAAGACTGATCCCAGAGCTGGGTGTGCTGGGATTTCCAGTGGTGTTGGCAAGAAGCAAATTGAAATATGTTGAGCTAATGAGATCCATTTAGATCCATTCGGTTAGTATGGCCAAATCAAAACGTTGGGTGCTTCCTCATCCTCTCTTTGAAACTCATGTCATTTTTCATCAAGAGAACTCATCAAACAACATCACACAGCCCAACAACAACCTCCACCCCCGACAAGTAGTCACATGTCTTCGTGCCGAACGAACGGAGGGTGCCATCGGGGTATCCCTGTCACATCCACGGCCACTGGATGGAACCAAACCGCCCAACTCCATGCCAGACCGGACTGCCAATGATTTGCCCACAGTGTGGTGGTTTGGGGGGATCAATGTAGGATGGTCTGGGCATGTGACTGGACTTCCTGAAAACGGATCCGAGGAAGTGCAAGTCTTCGGCGAGCTTCGCGTGGAACGGGTGCGCTGGCACCGCCTGGCGCCGCGCACTTCCGCCTCTCGGCGGGGAGAACGATGGGTTCGACCGTCGATTGGGTTTCGAGTGGAAAGAACAAGTGGATCACCTGCAGGTCACCTGTTTTTGCTTGGGAAATGCATAACGCAGAACCATGTTAAGCCATGTTATATATATAATATATATACATTTTTTTTTTTCGAGAAGTGAGGGGTAGAAGTGCACTTCATCGGGGTGCATGGGGGCATTTGTGTGTAATTATTTGAGTGAAAGAGTCTCATTACTGTGGAGCGACCCGCAACAACCTAAACATACCTAAACAACAAACAGCAAAAATAAGTGTAGGTGAAAAGGTGAGGACAAACTTTTCAATAATGAATTTATCAATATTGAAACTTGAAAGGATTATTGTGTTGAATTCATCCAATATCTCGTGACTCATTTATTTATAAGTCACTTGCTAAAGAATATGAGGGAAATGATTTGTAGGTTAGATACATATTATATGGATTTAATAAGAGATCTAGATGTCATGTCAATCAAATCCATGGCCTCGTCCGGTTTGGTAGTGACACCAAGTCGGAGGTCGATCTTGAACCTACAAAAGTGAATAGACTCCCTCCAACAAACATGGAAACGGACAACCCCTGTTTGTAGAGGAAAATTGCTCTTCCAGGGGTCATGTTCCACTGCCATGATTGTTTCAGGGACCATACTCAAGTACTACACTAATTTGGAAAGCCAATCTCTCTCTCTCTCTATATATATATATATGATGGGAAGTTGATGGGAAGTTGTTCCACATGTTGGGTGGTTGGTGGTCCAAAATAGAGATAGAGGTCACAAAAACAGTTCGAGTACCCTGCGACCTTTTTGGAGGGGATCAAGGACGGTCACGAAGGGTGTCGATCCATGTGAGAAGGCTGTCGACGGTCTACCAGCAATCTTCTCCACTTCGCCCGTGGAACCCGTCTCAATGGAACCAGCCAATCCCATACACTCCATGGGACTGCCATAGGACTGCCGCCCCAGACAGACCCCCTGGCACCACCCCTGGCCGTTTCTCAGCAGTCCGGACTGGCAGTCCCATGCCCAGACACTCCATGTATGCCATATATATGCCGCCCCATTGACCCCCCATGGCACCACCCCTGGCCGTTTCTCGGCAGTCCGGACTGGCAGTCCCATGGAGTGTTTGGGATGGGTCGCGTCTGGGAGGTCTCTTTCTGCAGCCGCCCTCGCCTGTCCGTGGGTCGACCCTCTCTCCGCCCCGAGGCGGCGACCATCCGACACGCTGAAGAGACGGGGCTGCTGTTCGGCCGGTAGACGACGCACACCACGGTCTCCGACCGGCGTGTTCTCCGGTCGGTTGGAGGAGAGGTGAAGGAACGGTGAAGAAAAGGCATGTCTTCTTTTTGGGCGCCAGACGCAAATTATTGAAGTTCTAATTAGCACTGGCATGCCGTGAGATGTTGCAGGAGTCTTTGTTGAAACATAATTTATTTGCATGCGTGGCTAGTCCGGGTGTCCTGGGGCCCTGCGTAGATGTTGAATTGTTCCCGGTTCCGAACTTACACTCAAGAAGATTAACATGGAACCTGAGTTCACCACGTCGGGTTGTGGAGGAAAATCGTCTTCCAGTCTGGTCCATGTACGACTAGCCCGGTTCCATGTGAGTTTTCGGGAGTGTAAGCAAATCCAAGATTGGACATGTTGCATGGCCTGAGTGAAGGTGCCATGGACAGGTTCACAGCCAGCGAGGTTCACGCCCAGCTGGGCGGGTCACTAATGGGGTCTCCAACAGACTACCATGCACTAAGTATCACTAAGTCTTATACAAAAACATGTGATCTTTCTATTACCGATTTTGGGGTAGTCAAAGTGTCAGTCCTCGTTCGCACGGATGCGATCCCGGATGGACGATGGTCACAAGACCTTTTTCGTGCATGTGTTTTTTCTGTACCCCCAAAGGCTCATTGGACCCTCAGTTCGCTAGGGTTTTGACACTCACAACTAGGGTTTTGGACCTCAAACATGTATAGCAGTTTGAGGGTCCATTGTGTGTTGCGAACCGGGCCAGGATTCTTTTGTTAATTGATTTTGCGAAAACGTTCTGTTTGACTGGACGTCCCCTGTAAGGATCATGGATCATTTTTTCTTTTGATGTGCTCATTTAGATGACCCCTGCTACCAAGGGGCCAAATGGAAGTCGATTTGGACTTCTAGGGTGTATAGATGTGTATAGCATGAGAGAGCCAGTCAAGTTTAGTGCTTCTTGGACTCCTTCTTTTTGTACCTGGGATTCTCATCAGGATCAAACAAGCAATCGATGTTCCGAAAGGCATGTGTTTTTTAATTTATCGGAATGGTTCCTGGTGAGTTGCGTTCTATTGACATCCATAGACTATCGGGTGCCCTATAGCTTCGAACATATTGGGCTTTTCCAATAGATGGACCTGAGAAGTTTCAGTCTCCCGCTGAGCCTCGGTCTTTGCTCATCTCCTTCTTCTTTTCGTCCGCGACTCGGCGTCTTCTCACGGACACCGACCGCGAGAAAAGCGCGGTGGTGCTGGGTGCTGAGAGTTTTTTCATGATGTCGGTGTGCTGAATGGAGATCATATAGGGGTGCCCCTGTCACATCCACTCACTGGATGGGACGAGCCACAGCACCCCACTCCATGTAACTTCTGGTAAGAGGTGTTTCATGAAATGCATGTTTGGAACAAAACAACCCCTATAAGTGGAACTTTTAAGGAGAAAGAACTGGGTTGAGCCATCCCTTTTCAACAGTTCACCAGCGTTCAAGAAACTTGGACCATCCCAGACCGGGGTGTCCGAGAGCTGGACATCCGGGAGGCCAGGTGAGGTGCCGTAGTGGGCGCCTGGGGCGAGCTTCCAGCCAGGTGAGGCCGAACTGAAGGTGCTGGAATATAAGATCTCTTTGCCGGGCAAGTCCTTCTGCAGATGCAAATCCCTGCCTTGAAGTCCTGCAAACTAAATAGGAACTACAAGCCTGGGACTCAGATAGACTCAGATAGACTCCTGCAAGCCCTTGAACCGAACCTCAGATCGATCCTGATACCTGACCAAGACACGACGAATGGAACTGGAACCACCCCAATGTGATGTGTAAGTTGATCATCCCAGACAGGTCGTCTCTGAAAAAACACCACGACGCATCACGACGCCATACGCGCGACGCGCGACGCCATACAACCGCAGCCGGCTTTCACCAAGCAGCTGCCTTTCCTGGAGACATCGTGTCCCTTCTTCTGCGGTCCATGGACGTCCTCAAGCCACAGCCTGCCGTCGCTGAGGCGCCGTCGGGAGCGTCGGACGGAGCGGCACCGCCACGGAACGCCGCGGACGGAGAGTCATTTGCGGTGTAATACTTGGCGGGAAGGTACGGTTTTTAGCACCGTGAACGCGTTGTTACCGACACCTCAGTGACTACCGGGGGCCCCACAAACCATCAAAAACCTGGTTTTTCCTAGCAAACAAATGCAACAAAACATGGTTTTTGTATGTGAAAACATTTTCTTTTAATGGTTTTGATGGCCCCTGGTAGTACTTCCCGACCTACTTCCTCGGGATCCACGTTACCTTCTCAGAAGGTGCTTGGAGACACTGATATGTGCCAGGAGGTTGCAGTCGTACCGAACCTGAGGTTCGGTACGATTGGATCGCTGAGCTACCATGGGTGCTTGAGCCGCAGCCATGACCGTTTTTCACAATGGAGGCTTTTGTTGAACGTCATGTTTGGACTGCTAAGGCCACCAGGTGAGTCCTTTTTATCAAGCACAATGGCACATCTTGGTATTCTTTACACAATTCCTTGACGGTGCTGGGTGGCACCGCTCAATGAGCTATATGACGCCTATATAGTGACGCTAATGTATATGTGGAGGTCTACGAAACAAAAACTTCCAATATGACCATCTATGTCTTGACAGATCCTTCCGGGCGTCAGCGCATGTGACGTGGAACAGCCAATGTTCGAGGTTGAAGAAATCGACTGTTCGACTATCCCAGTTGGGTACCCCAGGTTTTCCGGGTCCTAATTCAGGTCACTTCACCTTTGGAATCACCCACTCTGTTTCTTGTTGGCCAGTCGAAAAATCATCCCCTAGGGCTCCAAGTACCTCCCCAGAAGGTATTTGGACCCTCTAAACCCACCCCAGTCCCACCTTCTTAGAAGGTACGACTGGAGCCGTAGGGATCCACACCTGGGTCCAGTCGAGCCAGGTCTTGTTGCTTGGAGCGCTTTCGCTCGAGCACGCACCAGTCGTCTCGCACGCGCACGTGCGCTTTTCCGGTCGAGCGAGGGTGACTGTCCAGGTGAACGGCGGACATCGGAGGACGGGGCGAATCCCCTTCTGTGGAACATGTTGACGGGGCGAATCCTTCCCATGACCTGTAACTGAACCATCATCATCCACTGGGCCCAGGTAATGGGATAGACCCAAGGAACATGTGGTTTTTGTTTGCCCCATGGAACATATTTTTGGAATAGGAATCCCCTTCTGTGTAATATGTGTTGTTTCTGCCCATGGAACACTCTCCCTTAGGTATCCCCTTCTGTGGAATATGTTTCGCCTGGATCTTCCAACGACCAACAAATTATGGTAGTTTTGGTTATTGACCAGGTTTTCCGCGCAAACGCCCGCAAATCAGCGCAACCGACAAAACGACCGCAAATTAGCACAAAACGCGCGCAAAAAACCAGCAAACGACCACAAAAACCCGCAAAATAACGCAAAACAAACAAAACGACCAAAACGACCATAAAACCAAAACAACCATAATTTTTTGGTTGTTGTTTTTGTCTGGTTCCTGGACAGCAAATCCAAGAAGTTGGCCAGGCATTCGAGCATTCCTCAGCCAAGCTGCGGAATGAGCTCCAGGACCATCGACCAAGCTCTGGAGTCAACCCGCGGGAAGGAGTTCAGAAAGCTGACGTGAATGTTCATCTGAAATAAAGATTCTCCCAAGGGCTGAACTTCTACCAGGAGCATCCAAATGGTGTCCAGTGGAGATCGAATAGTGGGTCCAAGTTGGAATGTGTTGGGGGTGTCCGAACTTACCTGTAGAGCCAGTTGGTAATCGTCGGTAAACAAGAACGCTATTTTAAGGGAACGCCTGCAACCATCATCCACACGTTACAGGGATTAGGATACACCCACCATCATTCCCCCAAGAGCCGAATGCCAGGGTTGAGCCCCATGAATTCTGAGGAGCCCTCATGTCGAATCTTGATTGATAAATCCCCATATGCAGAGGTTGTTCAATCCAAGTCATTAAGATTAGTCTACACTACTGATCATTAGATACCGTATATCATAGACCTATTGAGTCCACACTTGGAGATAGCCCCACTATGCATCCACCAAGTTGTTTATTAATCAAGATCAAGAGTCTACATTACCCAGACCATCCATGGGACTGGCATAATTACCTCATTTGGGGCGGTGGGAAAGGGGTGAATTATACATGGAGTGTCTACATTCTCCAGGGATCCAAGTACCTTCTCAGAAAGTACGACTGGATCCCTTCAGATTAGAGCTCATGTATCCAGTGGATCTTCTTCTGCGCATCGAGGCAACCCGGGGCGATGCATTTTTGAGCATCACCCGGCTCCGTATAGAAGCGAGAACGGGCGTATGGTTTCCCCTACAAGGGCCTTTAAGAGTTGGTTCATGGACACCCCTGAAATCTTTGAATAACCACTTTTCGGGGTGATTATTAGACAGCCCAAGCCGGTGGCCCGATTATTACAGGTCAGTTCGTTCACATTTTACTGGAGTTGGTCATAAAAAGACACGAAACCTGGTTCTTCGACCGTCCTTGATCTCCTGGTTTGAGGTCACTTCGGCCTGTAACAGGTCACTTGGGGACTTGAAGCTGGAATGACATCAGGTTTTTCAGGACCAGGTCTAGACCTGAGTACGACATCAGCCTGTATGTGCAAGGGTCCAAAAGCACATTCTGGTGGGTGCACATCATGACACGACGTTCTTTGGGGCAAAGCAAAGGGTTGTTTGTTCAACACAAGGTTCTGAGGGCTCATGACGGCCGTTTTTCAGCATGCTTCACCTGGTTTTAATGGTGTAACATTCAGTAAAATAACAGATGGGTTCTTTTGGTAAAAACCACAAAAGCCCAGGTTTATATAACACAGTATAAATCCATCGTATAATCCCAGTGTCATGTGTATGACCATCCCCTTCAATCACCGTGATCCCTTCCGGGGCTGAGACCCAGCATCCACCCGTGCGCCCCACGACACGCAGATCCCAAGCCGTGGTTCAAACGCGTGGTGTTCCAAGCCACGCGCCAGGACGAGAAGGGACGTCCTGAAGGGAAAGATAGGAAGATGTCGAAGGAGAGGATGGCCGATGTCCGTGGGCGAAACTCGTAGGTGGCCGAAGAATGCCGTCGAATCTGGAGATCCTGGATAGTACCTGGACCCTCCAAAGTAATATAGACAATGGGAAGGTGGGACGTGACATGGCCCTAATAAAAGCAGGGTAAAACAGTTAAACTGGTACATGACTGTACCCATCTTCCGAGGTACTTTGAGCCTCCAGATAGTAGTAGTAGTAGTAGTAGTAGTAGTAGTAGTCGCAGTAGCAGGAGTAGTAGTCGTCGTCGTCGTCGTGGCTTCCCGTGGTGGCCATCCCGGCCTCAGGGGCGTAGGCTGGGGACTTCCATTGCATGGTGTGAACCGAACGGAACAGTGCTGGTGGACGCCCTCCGTCATCGCCTTCGTCGTCTTGGATCGTGTGTTTGTTTTTTTTTTAGGTGGGATCGTATACACCCCGTGAAATCAAACATGGACCCTGAAAACGTACTGGTTGGTAGAGGAAAACACCCTTCCAGGGGTCCAGGACGGACCCGGGTCTATGTGAGTTTTCGGGAGTGTACACAAGTGTACACCCCGTGAAACCAACTGCTTGGCATTCGGAGAATGGTCATTCTTAATTTTTTGCCCAGGTGAGTCATCCGTGTAACCATGATGAGTTCACGGAGTGTCTACACCCGGGAAGGGCCCCGATCGCCCCATCTCCTCAGGTTCGGTGGTTAGACTCGACCCCCTGGCACCCACCCCACCCACCCCAGTCCCACCGAACCGAAATGGAGGTGGACCACGACATGGAGGTCTGGTGTATGTGTTTTCTATCCCAATGGTTTCAGAGGTGAGAAATGGCACTGGCATCCCAAGATGTCTTAGGCAGATGGGGATCCATATAAACCACCCTCGTTGCTTGGGGATTGTGCCATCTACTCTCAATCCACTGTTTTTTTGGTGTTCGCCAGTCACCGAATGATTTGCACTTGGCTTCCCAGTCACCGAACTCGTTGTCATGCCTGACCAAGGCATCAGGTGTTGCACGACCAGTGCGTCGCATCTGAACATTTGCGAAAGGAGTGTTGCACTTCAATGCAAGTCCCAAACACGACCGATGGGACTGCCATACATGCCTACATTGGGGGTCAATGTAGGCATATATATGGCAGTCCCATCGGTCGTGTTTGGGAGTTCTTCTTCTCTTTCGTCCTCTTCTTGTCGCCTCGTCTCAAGTCCTTTCGCATGGCCACACGCCGGTGGTGAGTCGGTAAAAAAAGGGGGTACCCAGACGCGACCCCGTTCACAGGCCTTTCCCGGTCCCGAAGCAAACCATAGGGATTGGTGAGGTTACGTCCGGACCCCTCCAAAGGATTCGGGTACGGCCCCTACTGAACGCAGGGTCCAGGGTCGCGTCTGGGAAGTTGAAAAGGGGGTCAATGTATGTACTAGGAGCTCTTTGTACCAGCAGTTGCCAAGGGGTGCCATCCATGGTGTCCACAGCATCCACTCAAGGGATCTCAATGGAATTGGCAATATACAGACTGCAGATCCTTTAATTCCGAATTCTTGTTTCTAATAGCTTCTTGTTCGGCCAGTTTCGCCCTGAACGTAGCGTAGGGTCATCGCTCCGTTCGAGTCGCGATGCCAGGACCCCCCGAACGTAGCGAAGCTGGTTCCTAATCTGTAAACTACTAAGGACTTGCTACTTCGTACCAATCTGTTTTCGTCGAGCTTAAGCTTTTGCTTTTGCTCGGTGGAGGACCCATCGGAAAAAGACCCCGATCGGCGTCTTCAAAAGGCAGGGGGGGACTAGTGGCATGGAACAGGTCATTTTTTGTATACACCCTATAGGATTCGAATGGTCTTATATACTGCAATGGTCTTTACCAAAGAACCATCAATGTATTACTATTATAAGGATGTTTACACTACGCCGCCAGGTCAACCATGCTTTTAATGGTTTTTGAAGGCTATCTTATAGGGTACAGATGTGCAAATTCAAAAGTACCCAGGCAATCTACAGAGGTTGGCGTTGAAACCAAACCATGGGTGCCGGAAATATGGTCATGCAGATCATACCGTATATGCGAGAGCAAAACGAGCCTAGACTGCAGTGAATGAAGGCTTTGACTCAAAGCCTTCGCCTGCTTGGCTGTGGACCCCCATTGAAACCCATAAAGAACTCCGAGATCGAGGCAAGGGAAAGGATCTACACTGAGGATTCGGACCCTCAAAAGCAAGGCTTTGGTTCTGGGCGCCAGTGAAACCCCTGTGAAGCCAGAGGGCTTCGACCTAACCGAAGAGGGTGAGTTGGGATCCTGTCCCCTGGACGCGCTTCATGAAGCAAATCCACCACCGAGTGCATCCAGAGGCTCCACCTCCTCCAGTCCGCAAAGCTCTTGAACCTTCGAACTAAACCAGTGAATTTTGGGGACCAAGGGACCCCCCAAGCAACCAAAGGGAGTGGTGTGAACCCAGAAAGTTCCGGGCTCCAGTCATGACGGGATTGGAAGTTTGGCGCGTTGGGGGGGCTGGAAATGGCGTCGGTGGTTGGACCCCAACAGGGCAAGTCGTTCCAGTCAATGTACCGTGGTTTCAGAGGTTTCATGGCACAGACCCAAAGATGTCCTTTAGATGGGGGTCCATATAAACCACCGACATTGGGGTCTGTGCCATCTACTCTCAATCCACTATATGTTATCCATCCAGGTGAATCAAGGTATGAAGAAGATTGAACAACCAGGAGTCACAAGACGGGGTGGTGTTTGGTCCCCAAGTGAGTGGATGTGACATGGGCATCCCGACTACCTCCATGGATCGCACCCCTTACCGAACGTGACTGCTGGAAGTTCTGAACATGTTCACCACCAACAGAGGTTAAGTGACCTTATAGGATCTTATAGGACCCGACCAGGGTACCGAACTGGGATAGCCTAGTTCGGGTTCTTCAACCTCTGTTGGCAGGTCGTTGAAAGGATATGACCCCTCACCCCTGATGTCTCCCACCGATCCCATTGCTTTTCCCCCCCCCCAACGGGGCCTAGACACCTACCGTCACTTACGGCGACACTCACGTCCGACACCGGGACTGTGGCGGTGGAAGAACGAGCCTCCAGATGTCGACTACCAGGGGCCCCACATGGCCCATCAACAAAACATATATCAAAAAGTTTGTTTTTTTTCCCGAGCAAAACACATGGTGTTGGTTTTTGAACACCTGTGTTTTTGCATGGGAGACTGGATTCCGGCCCCCCGGGGTAACGCATCATATGCTGCTTTTCCGTGGACAGGTCAGGAAGATATGACCCAGTTAATAGGCGCTCCAGGACGCCATACCCAGACGCGACCCATGGGACTGCAATAAGATAAAGGCCAGGGGTGGTGCCAACAGGGGTCTGTCTGGGGCGGCAGTCCCAGATGGCGGTCGTCCCATGGATCGTGTCATGGGATAATTCCAACATCCAGACCAACTCTGAGCCGCTCTTCTCATAGCTTCACACCGCAGTCGCACACCGCGAATCCACGCAGTCACCGCGCATCCACGCAGTCCGCGCGGTTTCTTCAGGCGCCATGCGTGGAGAGGAGCCAACGGTCTCGACTCTTGGGTCTGATATTATCCAAGAGAGGTTTAAGTGACAATATGATGTGTAACCTGGAGTACCGAACTGGGATAGTCGAACTGAAGCAACACCTCTGGGTTGCAGAACAAGTGCAACACATATCCAGACACGACGAATGGGACTGGTATATGTGCCGCCCCAATTGACCCTGACTTCTATCACCCCATGTATGTAAATATGCCAGTCCCATGGAGTATGCAGGCGTCCTCCCCCTAAGGCTCCAACTACCTGAAGTTCCGTGGTTAGGGTAAGTTTCGGGGGTTTATATGGTTGGAGCCCTACTTGCCCGGTGGTTGGCTAGCTTTGACTTATAGGTTATAAGTATCCCTAACATACTTGTAGTTATAACCTTGGTTATAAGTCTGCTAACCTCTATAAGGTGTGGCCAACCATCGGGCTAATAGGGTTCAACAATTGAGAGCTGTTCCTTCGTTGGGCCCTTCCCATGGTCCAACGACCACACTTTCCGACCCAACGGCGATCGACACTGAAAACGGACGCTGCGTAGCCCACTCCATGGGCTTGGAAGGCTTCTGTTTGGTTCACTGGGACCAGCTGATGAGGTGCTCACCGTCCCTGGAACTCTCCGGAACTGATCCACTGTCTGTCGGAGCGTGAGGAAGCCTACCCAGACCATCCATGGGACTGGAATACATAACATCTATCATCTATCCCATGAAAATGAACCAAATGCTTCCTACCCTAAGGATCCGGACCCTCAAGAACAGGTGTTTGGTTCGGGGCCCCAAACCCCTGTAGAGGGTTCGGCCCTTGATTAATATATACCTAGAGCCTGAGTGACCTCTGTTTTCATAGGAAAAAGACCTTATGTTGGATAGTTGATCCTCCAAAATAGAGGTCACTCAGGCTCTAGGTATATATATATATACATAATTATTATATGAAACTATATTCCAAACGTGGATGATGTGGGTGAGATATGGCAACTGTCTGCCGATCAGGCCAGGCCGGATTTGAGGCTCAATCTCTCCCCCCCCCCACCAGTGCTGTTGGACCAAGTGCTAAGTAGACCCCGATCTCACTGATCTCATGTCCGTTCAGTTTGGGCATTTTCCCGGACTCAGTGATATGAGGTGCTGGAGATGCTCCATAGTGGCGCCAATATGGCCATTCACCCCCCAACTGACCTGTAGCCCTCCGCTGGGTCCGGAAAGTATATCAACCGTCCGCACCCGATCGTCCCGGACAGTTGATGAACCAAAATGGTTTCCAAGCCCTAGACTTCCAAGACCATAAAGAAAAGGTTGACCTAGTTCTTGACATGTAGTGTAATAGTGTATAATCCTTAGTTGATTCGGTAAAGCCCACTGAATTAATGGTTGTTGGAATCCTAGGGAACATGGTTTCCAAGGGTTGCCTTCCGTTCGTGTATCGATACATATACTTGACCTGGTCGACTGGTCATGCTTAGCGGGGGCGGGTTCCCCCCGCTCGGCGGGGTTCGAGCCCCACCGGCATGGACCTGGCAGCGTTGTGGACGATTGTCCCACCTTGATTGTCCTCGTTCGACCAAGAGAGGTTTTTCACAGCCCGTCTTGTCGCCCAACCCATACCTACAGAAGTTAAGTGACCGTAAATAGGACCCTATAGGGGTACCTATAGGATAGTTAGGGTTCTTCAACCTCTGGTATGTACCACTACAGGGTCCTATATGGTCAACCTCTCTTGGTAATGGTTTTCAGCTGGGCACAGAATCGGAAAAGACGAAGCCCACGTGGCCCTGGGCACGTCGTGCGCGCTTCCCATGGATGGTGACCAGTGAAAATGACGAAGTGCACACAGAGCTGATACAAACCCCACACTCCATAAAACTGCAAGATGTGCCAGTCCTGAATTCAACCACCCCAGATCAGCAAATATGCCATAGACATCCATATTCTATAAGCTATGCCCATACTTGATGGGTATTATAGGGTTGGCGCTTCGGATGCGACTGCGGGTTCCAGCATAATCTCATGACACAGTGAGGGTTCTCACAAGTTCTCACCAATCCCGATCCCAGACACGACCGATGTCTGTCATATATGCCGCCCCATTGACCCCTCTGGCACCACCCCAATGTGGGCATATATGGCATACATGGAGTGTTTGGGGATTGGTCAACTTTTTATGAGACATCTGAAGGTACCTACGCCCCACTTTGTTCGTACCTTCAAAAATGGAACTCTGAGTCATATACCATCATATAGCAAACCCCAAAAACCGGGGACTTGGAGCTCCTCGGCATTGGGAGCGGTGAAATTCCCTCGCCGGAGCTCCGAACGCGCTCCTCGCGCGGAAACGCCCCTCGCGGATGACCGAGGAGCGTACCGGAACCGGCATCAGATGCTCCGCAAGGGAGTGCCGGATTCACGGGAGATGCCCGAGCGAGTCACCTGGTTGCCTGCCTGCAGTTCAGGACATGAAGCTGGGGGAGAGAAAAAGCATGATGTAGACTGGTGTTATATGTTGTTTCGTTCTGTTTGAGCATGGTTGTCTCATGTTGTCTCTAAGTGACTTGAATCACCAAGTTACCATTTGATTTTGGTCGTTCTTGGTTTCCGGATTTGTTGTCCTTGGTTTTGCTGGGGGGAACACGGTCCTTTTTCCCAACACGGGCGCTCCGGTCCTACCGGTTGCTGCGGACGGCCAGCGTTGCTGCTACACGTCCACTCCCACTCCATGGGACTGCCAGATGAATCCATACGGCAGGGACGGTTGAAAGGGAGTCCATGTAGATCATCTTGTTCGTCAAGGCCATCGCTACAGAACCGAACAAGAAACTACGACCAGGGGCCCGAACCAAACCATTCAAAACCTGGTTTCCGCAAAAACATGGTTTTTGCATGTGAAAACCTGTGTTTTTCATGGGAAATTGGTTCGGGCCGGTAGCAAACGTCTCGCATGTGATGTTCATCCAACGTGGTCCGTCGTGTGAGTCGACCGGTACGGAGCACCCGGAGGTCCGGGTCTAGACGGAGGCCTTTGGAGGTCCATCCGAGACTCAGGATGGTGGATAAAATCTATCGGACGGCCAGCGAGGAACACGAACGAGCCTTGGAGAGGGTTTTTATCGGTGGACGCGCGCGCGCGCGTGGGTGTGTGACATTGTGTGTGTGTGTGTGTTCAAACAAGTGTTTCGGCCTAAAGAAAGAAAGAACATCCTGGACCCTCCAAATTTGAAAGTGGATCATGACCAAGAGACCCCAAACAGTGTGTCGAAAGGCCTAAGGTCTAGAGCTGTAGAAGCAGGTCTAGAGATCTAGGCGTGTTGTGGTGACGGTGGCTCCGCCGCTCCGTTCTCCACCTGCCACGAAAGTGTCCTTCGCGCCCACAAAAAGTCACCAAGTCCAACAGAGGTACGACTGGACCCATGTTCCGAGGTACTGAGACTTCAGGTCTTTGAATCTCCACATTCATTGAACGCCGCGGGTGGTATCCCCACTTGCTGCATTCATTGCCACCGGAGACGGGAGACGGGAGACGTCGACCTTGGCTGCTTGCAAAAGGCTTGAATTCATGGGGTTAGTGGTTTGACTGCTCCAATATCCACAGAAAAGATGGAGAGGTCTTGGGAAATGGGGTGGATGCGAGCCTTCAATAGCACCTTGTCCTCTTTCAAGATGGTCTAGACGAATCTATGGCCCGCGCTCCTAGGATGCAGGAAGTTCCTGAAAGCACTGGCCATCTTGAGCGTTGTGCTGCGTGAATGCTTGGAAGAGCAGCTTGGACCGAAGGACCGGGTTGATGACCCACCTGGTTCTTCAGTTCGTGACCGTCCGGTCACATCCTGGCTGGTTCGGTCACAAAAGGGCCTGTAATAGGTCACATAAGGGGGAGTCCAAAAAGGTCACTCTGAGCCGGAGAAGGGTCATTTTTGTTGAATCAAAGATGTCCTGCACCCGCTTGGAAACCCCTGCTTTGTTGAACTTGCTATTTCTGTTCATGAAGAGTGCTGGTCATTCACATGACATTCGGTGTGTAAAGCTAAGTAGCTAGAATTTATACATAAATATATATATATATAACTGGTTCACTACCAAAATCATCAAAATCTACCGAACAACCATTGTTTTACCTAAATTGCTTACAAACCCGGTCTCTTCCATTCTCTTTTTCGTCTAAGACCTAAGACCTAAGACTAGAAGAAGAAACCGAGTCTTCTGACACTCCGGTGTGGGGTTTCTTTCAGAAGAGTTTCGGGGTGAGACGGCGACGTGAGGCACTCGGATCCAGCAGTGTCCCAGTGTCCGAATTGGACGGGACAGGACTAGCTTCGCCTGGTTTCAGAGGTGAGACATGGCACAGACCTCAAGATGTCCTTTACAGGGGGGGTTCATATAAACCACCGACATTGGAGTTTGTGCCATCTACTCTCAATCCACTATACTAGTGGCTGCTTGTTCAACTCACGGAGGAGTGGTCAATGGAGATGTATAAGTATTGGGTGCTTCCAACGGCTGCCCAAAACAGAGCGGCCGAATGAAGTACATGTTCTTCGATCCATTTCGATCCCGCGATCTCAGTTCGGAGGAGCTCTAGGAGATTACAAGCGAAATGACATATCCCAAACACTCCATGGGACTGCCATATATGCCGATCAGTTGGGGTGGTGGTTTGAGGGGTCAATGGGGCGGCATATATGACAGACATGGAGTGTCTGGGTATGTTGGTTTTTGGTAGATCCCTAAGGGATCGCACCCTGGAAGACGATCCCGAACCTGAAAGCCCCTGGTTGGTAGAGGTTTCCATCGTCTTCCACGGGACCATTGTCAGGGTCTATGTGAGTTTTCGGGAGTGTATACTTGTTGCATGCCAGCAGTTCGATAGAGTTGGGTGCCGAACAACGAACGGAGGACGTCGGGGCCCATCTCCATCACCGGCCCCGGCGGAAGGGACTCCAAGGCAATTCCCTTGGAACTGCTGGTGGTTGGGAGATCCCGTTTTCGTCGTTGTTCTCCCAAGTTCCCGAAGCTCTTATCCAGGACCCACCCGTTTTCGTCTTTCCACCGCGACGCGGGAAGACGGAGGCTGTTGGGCGTCATGCTCCAGAAGCTCTCACCGGGCCTCCTGAAGTTCGGTCGGGTGGGTGCCAGGGGGGTCGAATACCACCGAACCTGAGGAGATGGGTTGGAGCGCTAGGGTTGCGTCATCTATCATCTATCATTATGTGATGAGAGCTCAGTTGGGTGTGTGCTTTTTTGTCCCTAGGCTCCAGACGTACCTTTTCCAGAAGGTATGACTGGACCCTGCTGGCACCCACCCCAGTCCCACCTTCGAAACGAAGCCACGACCCCATAGAGGGTCAAGGCCAGGAGCCTGCACCCTGGTAGGTGGAGCCGGCTCGGGTGTGTGATGCTGGCGCGCCCAGGACGCTGATGAGAAAGCTGAACCGGATTGGCCACCAGGCGATGGCATCGCTCTCGCGCTGCTCGCGGCCGGTGGACCGGTATAGAGTCAAAGATGCGGTGGAGCGGAGGAATTTCAGTGGGCCATGTAAGGCCTCTGGTATGGAGTCTTTTGGTTCTTTGGCTGAAAAAACAACTATATAGAAGCGATGCACTTGTTCCTAGTAGCTTCTTGTTCCTAGTAGTAAGGCCAGGAGCCCCTAGTAGCGTCCTTGCTCCTAGAAGCGATGCCCTTTGCTACTAGTAGCCTGGGTCGTAGAGATGTGAGCCACAGAATGCCATACATGTAGGTCGAATGGTCAAAACGATTGCCGAGATCAAACTGAAGATGGGGACGAACCATTTGCACTATGCATGGGGACGAACCTGTAGAGACTAAAGAATTAACGCGCCACCTGAAGACAGCACGAGCATGGCACCGATTCATTAAAATATCCATGCTTGATGAAGGCCGGACAGAAGGGCAAATGCGAGAACCAAAAAAACCGAGCATGGAGCTCCACATATGTAGTCTTGTGCCCCAAAACATTGACCTAATGCAGACATGGGAGCTGGAGGAAAGAATGAATTTCCATGCACAGGGCCAAGGTGTTCCTTGTTCCGGCAGGAGCCACCATATTAGATATTGCCGCATGGCCAGATAAGCAGGTTGTCCAAGCGAAGCCACTCAGAGCATTAAACACCACCATGTCATTGCTAGCGCCCCCAACTGCCAAAGCACATGGCAGAGAGACGCAGTGAGAACGCTCACCCCGATCCTGTCAAAACACGAACGGCGCTCGCGGTCATGTATTTTAAAATATTGGCGTGGCATGGTGCAGACATGTGCAGACCATTAGTTTTAATCTGACCATCAATTGGACGCGACGTCGTAGAACATTACGCAATTTGGGGTCTTTGCTCTGGCCAAGACTGAAAGGCAGGATTTTCAAAGCCTGAGGGCATCATCATGATCATCATCATCACCATCATCATCAGCTGCTCATCATTATCGTCATCATCCGGTGTGAACCCAGCATTTCAATGCCAGCCTTGATCAAAAACGCCTTCATGAATTTGGATGATGTGACAACAGGTTGACCAAATTGAGAGAAAGGCTGATGACAAAGATAAAGCGGACGTTGCCTACAAGGCAAGGTGTATGAAGAGGTCCGAACAGAAGTGCAGGAAGCAAAGAACATATTTGAAGCTTCCCTCAATGCCGCACTCTCTAGGAACACAAGAAAACATTGCAACAAGGATTTCGCAACAGTTTGATGAAATCAAAACACTGCTGGCACATCAGCAACTACTCAAACGAAAGAACAAAGAGGATTGTACCACAGTAATGCAACTCAAAATAACTTGACTGACCCGTATGTGGATGCTATTCCATCCCGCTTGCTGGACATGGTTGCACATTGAACTAAACTAAACCTTTAATGGGTTTATGACGTTAACTGACGTCATTGTGAAAAATGGTGCTGTTGCCTTTTTTTGGTGGGTAGCAGTGGTAGCAGATCAGCAGCGGTTTGATTTTTGTGTAGATGGTGACGTCATATATATATATATATACATTATAGGTGTTCAGTTTCATTTGTGCAAACATGAGCGGAGGCATCAAGGATGGTCGTCGTGTGTCGGGCACAGAAGGAACATTCCACAAGCCCTATGTGGCGACGCGGATCGGAGAAGCCAAAGAACCCCAGGGGCTTCCCGTGATCAACAAACCAAGCCCTGGGGCTCCAGTCGTACCTCCTCAGAAGGTATGACTGGACCCTCTAAACCCACCCTAGAAGGTACGACTGGACCTAAAGTATTGCTTTCCTGAAGCCGCACACCCCTAATCAGAAACCCTAACGGTTGCAGACCCCTGCGAAGATGGGACCAAGGATTCTTAGGGCACATGTACCCTCCGACGAACACATCACATGGAAGTGGATCATAGTGGAAGACTCTTGCACGCTTGGAGGACTCTTTTCCTGTAGCAAACAGGGTGGCAACTGCACTTCCATGTCCTCCATGTCCGAGTGTGGAACTTCTTCGTTCCGCACCCAGGGGGTCTCCGATCCGCGCGCACGTGGTCGGCCAGGTGCAGCAAGCGCGGCCGGACGCCTTTCGCCTTGGGAAGAGTGGAGCGGAGGTGGCGACTGAGAAGGTCGAGCTGGGCAATAGAAACTTGGCAGTACCACTGGACATCTGGACCCGACTTCTAATTACCATAATACAGTGGCCCCCTAAATAGATGACCGTGGCACGGTGTCCAAGACAATGATTGGTGGGGATCTACTGAGCTCATTACTTTTCTAATCTTTTCTATCTATTTGGGGGTCTATATAAGGGACCTCAGAAAATCGGACCATGTCATGACCCGAAAAGCAAGTTAACAGGTAGAGGATCAGTAGATATCTATACGACCTGTACCCATTGGAAATGGAGGTACTGGTGCGAACTCAGGGGTCGACTCCAGGTAGGAATTTATTGTGGTTGGAACCAAACCCATTCCCAGACACTCCATGTCTGTCATATATGCCTACATTGACCCCTCAAACCACCCCAATGTAGGCATATATGGCATACATGGAGTGTTTGGGCATAGGTTCTCTCCCTGATCCGATGGCTCAGAAAAACGACATTCGAAAGCATGCTTCTTCGCGGGTCCATGACCCTCACAGCTGGGTTTGGGGACCGAAGCAACATGTGGCAATTTGAGGGTCCATGGTCGCCTTTGGGATATATATATATACATATATAATATATATACATACTAGGGGCCCGAACCAAACCATGAAAAACACAGGTTTTCACATACAAAAGCCATGTTTTTTGCTAGGGAAAACCCGCTTTTGGATGGTTTGCGGGGCCCCTTGTATATTTTAAATATATAGTATATTGATATATTAGCACCTAGGGGCAAAAATTTCCGCCCCAGGACGAGAAGAGCCGCTCTTCCCGAAAAAGGCAAGAACTTCTGTCGAAGGGATCTTCTAGGTATATATTATATATCTTGAAGAGGGTGGTCTGCGTGAGTGTTCGGTGGATTAATCTCAAAATGCGCCAGCCCAAACCCGCTGCTGGGGACCTGACCTATGAGATTGCGACCCCAAGTCCTCCAGCCAGGTTCAGGTCTGTCCTTTGCAGCCAGGAGGAATGCCATGGCCCAGCCAGGGCAGTTAGCAACTTCCAAGCCCATCCAACCCAGACACTCCATGTATGCTATATATATGCCGATCAGTTGGGGTGGTGCCAGAGGGGTCAATGGGGCTGCAGTCCTATGACAGACATCGGTCGTGTTTGGGATTGGTGGGATGCATGGCACAGCGATGAATGGAGGACACCCATTATATCCTCAAGCTGCTAGCTGGTGCTCCAATGGTCAGTTGGTGCTCCAGAACTTGAGGTCCTTCCGAAGTCTGAATCGTTGCTCGTCTTGGTTGTTCTCGCGCGCGCTTGCGCGCGCACGGCACTTCCCGGAATGAGTCGCCCGGCGCTGAAGTTGAGCCCGCGGTCACCTGCTCGCGATCCAAGGATTTAAGTGGCTCAGCGGTACCCTCCATTTGTTTGTGAGGAAGTGCCATGATAGCCTCTCCGACGTGGATGAACTTGAAAAGAAGGTGGAGACTGGGACGAAGGGACGAAGGGATGAAGGTGTGGGGTACACACCGACGATGGACGAAGGACTTCCAGTCTGGGGTAACACGGTTGGGGTATATGTTTATGACGTGATCATGAGTTTTGTGATGTTTTGTTTGTATATCCCAGACACGACCGATGTCTGTCATATATGCCGCCCCATTGACCCCTCTGGCACCACCCCAACTGATCGGCATATATGGCATACATGGAGTGTTTGGGTATTGTTTTGTTTTATTCCTATCTGTTTTTGGGTGGCGCGCGATATTGGCCTTTGTTGGCTAGTTGTGTTTCAACACGCAGAGCAGAAACTGAATGATGAATGACCATTTTTACTGGTTCAACAGAAATCGCCATGACATCCTCGTGCAACATGGAATCTGACACACCATCAGTTTGTGTTCATCCGGTTGCAGCTCGGACAAGATACACATGCGCCAGACCATACCTCTTGTGTTGTCCTCTTGTGTTGTCAATTCCTATTTGCTAGTCCCCCTGGCTCCAATTGTTCCCTCTTCCCTCTTCAGGTCCTAACAAGTAGGATGGTGCAAAAAGAACACACCAGGAGGTGATGAGTGAAGAATAGTGAAGATGCCCAGTTCGTGAGGTGTGATGAATCTGTTCATTGCCTTTAGTGGACGGAGATCCTCTTGGTCAACGTTGGAATGAATTGAGGATGCATTCCAACGTGAAGTGGCTGTTTTGAACCTGGTGCTTGTCGGGTTGGGGGGTGGCTGGTAAAACAACCATGCTGCCTTGCCATTTTCGCCTAATTAAGGACGCCTTCCTGGATGAGCTCACCAAGGCGGTTCAAGAGTTGCAGACTCTCCTGGAAGAGCTGCAGGACTTCTTCCAGCAGATTGAGGCTATGAAGAGTCATGTGGAGGATGAGTCATGCAGATCGCGCTTGGAGAGCTGGCAGATGAAGCTCATAGAGATCATCAAGGAAGAGCTTTTGACGCTTGGTGAGTGAAACACGTACCCTCCGGCAGATGAACCACATGGACCCTGTAGCAAGTTTTCAATAGGTGGGCCAATGAGAAGGAGTGCTATACCAGGGTCCATGTGTTCCGTGTTCACGATCGACGCAAGAAGCAAGTCGTGAGACCCAGGAAAAGTGGGATCACCTGGCAAAACCTTTCCCTACGGATCCAAGTACCTTCTCAGAAGGTGTTTGGGGTGGCTGTGGAGGCTCCAAGTGCCTTCTGAGAAGGTACGACTGGATCCCTAGGGTTTGTTTTTGAATTGGGAACGCCCCATCTTTCACGTTCCAACAGGTGGATGTTTGTTTGGTGACACAGAAGACCAGTGAGTGTGTCACACCGCGACTTCGCCGCCTCAAAACCAGTGTGACAGAAGGAACAGGTGGAGTTTGGTGAACCTTTAATGTCCAGGGAAAACGGAAGTACCAGGAACCCCAACCAAACCATGACAAAATACAGGTTATCAATGGTTTTCATATACAAAAACCATGTTTTTTGCTAGGTAAGACCAGGTTTTGGATGGGCCATGTGGGGCCCTGGTAGTCAGTCGTTTTCAAGTCGACGGACCACTCCACTTCGACTTTCCGGGAGCTGCCGCTGTTGTTTGACCTGACCTGTCGATCGGGATGGGACGAACGGGAGGGTCAGAGGGTCACATGAGCCACCCGGACTTAGCAACAGAGATTAAGTGACCTGAACTAGGACCCTACCAGGGTACCTATGGGATAGTCTATAGGGTCCTTCAACCTCTGTTGGTCGTAGCGATGGCCTTGCAAACACGATGGCCTCCAGCGTGCGTCCTTGCCCCTATAGTAGAGATGCCCTTGAGGTTCTGCACTTCTGGAAGAATATGAAGGATATGGTTCTGCACTTACACAGCTTCACCACTCACATTCCAAGGTTATATCATATCAATATGGTATCATATGTATGATTATCTAACAAGTTGCTCCAAGCTGTCGGGGCTGCCCTGCCCTGGCGATAGGGGGGCAAATCCCACGAAAGACCAGGAGAAGCATCAAAGCAGTTGATGTTTCTTCTTATGATTTTTTGGCTCATCGCTCAGGGCCTCAGGGGCTTGTTTTGATTGATTCCTGAGAGCCGATCAGACCCTGATTGCCATATATCGCAATCCACGCCTTTCTACGATTGGCTACAAATAGTCTGTAGTGCTATGTAGTGCTTGTGATCTTTTTCTACCTTTTCTACCACCAGGTTTTGGTAGTGGTCGGTTTCAATTAAAAAGAAAGAATGGCAAACAAAAAAACAGTGTTGCCCTTGAGGTCTAGAAGTGTAGAAGCAGGTCTAGAGATCAAGAACTGGTCATTCCAGCTTTGGAACCAAACCAGGCGACTTCAATCGCTCCTACCCAGAAGGGCCCAAGACCAAACTCCCAGAATGCTGTGGATTGTTCTTCCAATTGGAGTCTCACCAGAGGTCTGTCCAGCTTGACGATGACTTCGGTGAAGGACATGTCTTTTTCGGATCACTTCAAGTGACCCTAAGAATCCAGGGCCGGAGCCATAAGGATAGGGAACGGCTTCCGCCGGCTCGCCCTTGCCAAAATCAGGCAAGGCAAGGGCATCCGTTGGACGCCCTCCGGTCGTGTCGAAGCGAAAAAGCAGGCCTTTTTCCGGTCCAGAGTGGTGATGGCGGCCCCATTGGACCCGGCCAAATCCCATCCATCAGCGTCCTCTCGCTAGGCTCCACCCAGAGGGTGCTGAAGTTGGACTCCGTGGGATTGCCTGCAACTTCCTCGAGCTTCCAAGTGATCTCCAGGCCGGGAGCTTTTTTGGGTGGGAGTGGCGTTTTGTCACCTATCCTAAACGCTCCATGGGACTGGCATATTTATCCATACATTGACCCCTAAAACCATCCCAATGTGGGTCAATATGCCAGTCCCATGGAGTGTTTGGGCATTGTTCGGTGCTCTCAATTATACCTGGACCTGTTGGTACCTCGGAACATGGAGACAAGCAGATGTCCCAGTTTCTAGGGTACTTTGAAGGTTCCAGGTCGGTGGTTCATGTGTTTTTCTTCTTCTTTGTCCAAGCGCATGTACCTCTCCCTGTGATGTTTTGAGTCTTTGCTTGAAGCCGCGCAGACTGCCACGTGCGAGCACACAGACTTCCTTCTTCGAATCACGAGTCGTTCCGTTTTGTGGACTGGCGTCCTTCATACAGACAGGGGCCGGGGTGGTGGTGTCAATGTAGGGGTCTGTCTGGGGCGGCATAGTTGGGGCGGCATATATACCATACGTGCAGGCTTTGGGAATGGCACTTCACCAACTGTGCATTGAGACAACAACACCCACTGACCCAGTGGGGTCCCCAACCTGAAAAACACATTCGACATTTGAAAGATGACGTGCACCTGGTTTTGTAGTCTAAACTTCTTGGTAGAATCAGATGTTGTTGTTGGGTCATGCCCATCAAATCAATTGTAGTTGGAATACTGCAATAGAGTCTGTATTATTGTAGAGGGATGAATAATTAGTTCATATCAGTTCCACTATAGTTTGTATTAAAGCGACGTCCATGCGTTTCTGCTTTCGTCCCACCTCTTCCAAACCCGCCTAAACCGACGCCAACGCCGCAGAAGCCGTCCGACTGACGTCGGGTGCGGACCGCGACGTGACCGCGACCGCGCGGGGGCCGGAGGAGCAGATGTTACAAGCCGGTTACGCCTCACCCAGCTGCGTGAGGGACACTGCAGTCTCTGAACAGAGTGAGCCAGATTCTCGGGCCGATATAGAGATGGGTTTGTATCGTTAACGGCTCGGTGAGTGACTGTGTCACTCGGGTTCGTTGGTCGTTTTTTGTGGCAATATCCCTTGTTGCTGGGTGGCACAGATGATCCCTGGATGCATGGAAAGCAGAAAATATGCCCTTTCCATCTAGCTGGGTGCCAGCTTCTTCAAAGCTTGACCTCTTTGAAGTCCCCGTGCTTCCAGCTGTTCCAGGCCTGGCCTTCGTGACTGAACCAAGCAGGATATCAGGGATGGTCACGAACTGAAGAGCCAGGTGGTTTTCGGTTGTGACAGAGGTGTGGCTCAGGATGAAGGTGGAGATACTGAGGTCATGTGGTGGGTGAGGTTGCCGCGGTTTTCAGTCAAAAGGGACAAAAGTGACAAAATCGATCAAAATATGTTGGTGGTTATCTTTCAGGGCCAAACATGACACTCTGTTGGGGTCCAAGCCTCGAACCCTCATCCGCTACAGTGCGAATCGACTGATACCTGGTGGTCCAACCTCCCAGTGGTTTCAGAGGTTCGATGCCACAATCCCCCCTGGCGAGGTTCATCCAAACCGAGCGGCGAAGCAGTGAACCAGACATGAGCCGGGCCCCTCATTCCATGACCATAATTTCATTGTTGCTTTTAAATGTGTTCAATAGAACTGTTGACCCACTTGGTTTTACGGTAATCATGTTCCAACCTGCATGGTTTCGTTTTCCGTCAACCTTCAATGGTCGAAGGCGGATGGCTATGGTGTCAAAAGCCGTTCCAGCTGAGGCGCATTGACACAAGTCCGTGTTCGTGACACGTCTGTGACACGTCTACACAGATGACACGGTGACATTGCTCGTAAGCCCGCTCAATAAGAGGCTCAGCATTTGCATGGCGTTTTCTGACCGTTCGTCAGGTTCCCAGGTGGTTGGCCACATGGTCCATTCAACACTGCTCCAAGCGAACAACACCGCTCGATTCAACCACTGCCTGTCGTACGGTTGGAGTCATTGGTGTGAGTCACACCGAAGGGGCTGCGGAGGCGATATGCTTTGATCCAGGAGACGTTGGGTCAATCGATGTCTAGGGTATATGCTTGTAGAAACAAGTGCCTTCCTAGTAGTAACAAGAAGCTACTAGGGGCTCCTGGCCTTACTACTAGGAGCAAGAAGCTATTAGAAACAAGTGCATCGCTTCTAGTAACAAGTGCCTTACTAGTAGTAACAAGAAGCCGATGTTTCACCGTGTTGTGTGTGTTTATATTGAAATAGGGAGGCCGAACCAAAGAACCCGAGAGGAGAAATAGGTTCAACACTCCATTGGTTGGGGGTCTCCCTATCAAATACACACCCATATATGTTCCTGAAATCGTCCAGTTACTCTCAGTTGGCGATGTTCGTTCTTGGGATGCACATGCCTCATGACATGACATTGAGATGAAAAAACAGGATTAAATTAAGACTGAAGACCAACGTTGGAGGCTGCCTTTCACATGAACACAGGAAACTCTGTGATGACCGCAAGTGACTTTGTGATCAATTTGCTTCAATAAGGTTCTCATGCAATGTCAAGCAGGGAAAAAGGTTAGGAATCTTAAGGCAGACTGAGGGAAACTTTGGCTTGTCTTGCTGTTTGACCCACAGATACATCTTGGATTATCGCCGCGGCTGCACCAAAGGAGGGGTTGGTCTCAGTGTAGTGCATCAACAGTTTATCACCACAAGTTTGTTTCATGTTCTATCTCCCATTCCCATCCCATATCCCTCAGAGCGGCCTGGTCACGACAATTTTGAAGACTTCCCCTCCTTCGTGGTGATTTACGATTTTGTTCAACAAGAATGGTCCATGCAACGAATTTTGTGAGTCTGAAACAACTGGGCTTGGCAAGGAGGCCGGACCCCATGACTGACAGGGTGGCCGGGCAACTTCTGGCCGAATTGGACAGTTTGTTAGCTAGAGGTCTTCTCAAGCATAATTTCAGCTTGAGGTCTTACACTTCAGGGGCGTAGGTCACATGTGCGCAATGAAAAGTAGTTACACGAGATTGTGCCTGAAAAGGTTTGCTTGTGTTGCTTCTACCAACACACACACACACACTCGGAATGGAATGCCACATGCCACACGCCTGAGCATCCTGGAGGTCCAATCAAAGAAAAAGAGAGGCCCAATCTCAAAGTCGATGATCGCGATGCGACAGGATGACGACGGACGTACTCAGTCGCCGCTGAAGAACCACTGCAATGGCTGGAAAATTGTTCTAGTTACCACGGGACTAATTGGGAAAATATATGGGACAATTTCTGGTAAAGCTGCAGGTACGTCTGGCTGATCAGGCCAGATATCAGCACGGAGCTTGACCCTCTTCGTTGGATCAGCACTCAAATCGGTGGGTGAACCGCCTGCAAACCTTTAAAAATCAAAGGTTTCCCTGTGACTCCAAGAGCTTCACACACACACACACTTCTTTTTTCCCTGGGTTAGAGCGGTCGAGACGCAGTGAACACGTCTCCGATACGAAGACGAACACGGCACATGTGGGCACCGGAGTGGGCACCGGCCCTTTCAGTTGAAAGGGCTTGGCCGCGATTGGCGGAACCTGTGGAGTTCATAAGGCTCATTTCCAATCATTTCCCATGTTGAGCAGTACCAGGCTATACCATGGCTGGCTTTTGGTGGTTGAGCAATGCTTAGCTTGCGGGAGGGTGCTATATATGGTGATTCTTGATCAGACTAACGACTTAATGTTCATTGCCCAGCAGACTCCCGTGGACCTTCTCTCCCGCTCAGGGACAGTCGCTGGGGAACTGGTCGCTGGAAGGTCTAACATGTCAACCAAGTATCGGATATATTGTACCAGGACCCTCCTGTTGAGGTGTCTCTAAGTAGCCTTCTAAAGATACTTTTAGAGGTCCCAAAAAGGTGCCAAAACCTTCGGTCCTGGTATGTGAAGTAAGGACAAATGAACCTCCGACCGAAAGACCTCATCCCACGCATGTTTTTTTCCACGATTCCCCCGAAAGGGGGGTACACAGCGTGGAATCTCACTCCTCGAGTCGTACAGCGTGGAATGGGCGCGGCGCAGCGAGCTGTCGGGTCGCGCAAAAGCGACGCACAGGGAGCGAATCGCCGGTCTCCCCAGGGTGAGTGAAGTTGACCTCCCCGAGTCTAAGTAGACCTGCAGAGGAATTCCCCATAATTTCCCAATGTGAATGGTGGACAGTTTGGTGGAAGTCTCAGACCTGGTGCACCTGTTTTCAGAGTCCATGTGGTCCTTTGCAGGAGGGGTAGTCTATTCTGTTCAAGTTCTTGGGTGGCTCAAAAGATGACTGGCGGCCAATCAGGTGGGTTTTTAAATTCAGACCAAATATCAACCCCTAATGATCCACATACCTTCCTAGAAGATACGACTGGGCCCTCCAAACCTACATAAATAGTCTTCCAATCACCGTGCCTCAGGTTCGATATGTGGATCCATAGGGCATGCTGTTGGAGTTTTTGGGTTGTGTCAAGACTTCATGTTGACGCATGATGAATAATCCCTCCCAGAAGGTGTACTACTTGGGGATTCTGCGGAACCAATCATGAGGCAATTGTCAAGACTAAATTTATTCATGAGAAGATCTCCATTCTTCAGGAGGGAGCCTAAAGACATCTAAAGACCAATGAGTTTCTAATTGAAGGGGTTGAAGAAAGGGACTTGACTGTTAGTATGGCAAAAGAGATAGCCCCACGAAAGGTGGACCAAACCAGATCAAGCTAATTGGGGGTCACTGCATGGCTTTTGCAAAAACAGGTTTTAACGGCGGCTAGTATTGGGCAAACGAGGCGGACCAGACTAACAGGGCGAGTTGACCTGGCTTTGTCGTCTAAAACATTCTAAAACCTTTGTATATATCCTTTTAGTATAGTATATCATATTCAAGTGTTTGTTTGTCAAAAAGGCACAAAACAAACTAAATCAACGGTGCTTGAAATCCTCAAAGCTTCCTAGGGCTTACATTGATCAATGGTGTTTCATCGATTATGTTTTCACCGGCCGTCTTACCACTTTCAACGCGCATCGCCAGGTGCGGCACGTGCCAAAGGTGGTCCGGCAAGCGCGGCCTCAACGGCGGCAGGCGCGGTGCGCGCGGCTCAAGCGGGTTCGGTGGGTTGGTCCGTGAGAGGGTGGTGAAAGTGAACGTCGCATCAAAACAAAGGTTTGGGGGTCAATGGGTTGATCTGATAGAGATGGCTCAGGAGCTAAACAAACAAGACCAAACTAGATGTAGAAAGTCATAGTAAGTCTATATATGTTCTTCTTGTGGACCACTTCGGATGCATGATTCCTACAATATCGTACAATTGAAAAGACCGCACCACTGTGACTTTGAAATAAGACCCTTTGGCTATCAAGCAGCAGCCCACTATTTGATCATGGATACGAGCAGAACCCACTACCACATGTTTTGTCGACTGTATCATATCATCATATCACTTCTTGTGTGCTGCTTTTTGTTTTCACATGCTGTGAATTCCCACATGCTGTGCGTTTTGCTGGCGTGTTTAACATGCTGTGGGACCGTCGTCAAGCAGGCATTGGCAACTGACTGGAGAAGATCACAGCGAACGTGACGGTCCTACGGTCATTTCAGGGACATCTTTCACTTCGCTTGGGGCACCCAAAATGAAGTCCAATTGACATATGTTCCACCATGTCAAGTCCCTCAAAATGGTTTGTGCACTGCTACATGTCACATTCTGAACTTATGGTTACATGATTACATGTGCGCAAAATCGTTGCTTGTCCGATGGTCCAGGCTACTCAACTCTGATCACCCTTAAAGTCCTCTTGAATTCTGGTTGTCTTTCTCCCAAAGCCTACCAACCATATTCCTAACATCCGCTCCCGCATCCGCTCCCGCATCCGCTCCCGTTGGGACCAACCACGTCTTGGGATCTGTCACCGCGGACGCTTCCAGCCACAGGGGACCCGCTCGATCAACACTCCGACCGATACGACCCCTCTGACCGAGTCGCGGCCGCTGAACCCGCCGCTGAAACAGAGTGCTCACGGAGTGCTCGTTCCCCATGTGGGCGGCAAACACGGAACGAGGCGGTCGTGTGACAACAATCTGCCAAAATTGACCCCAACAAACATCTCAAAACCACCTCAATGTAGGCAAATAGATGGTAAATCTTCCAGATACCTGGATGTTCCTCAGGCAGTTATTTCTGCCTGAATGGTTTCAGGCTGTTTTTTCTGCCCGAACCTCAGATTTCCGCCTGAGGCAGAAATTTCTGCCCGAAGGCAGTTGCAGAAGTTCAAAATTTGTAAAACACATCAGTGCCAAACAAAGTCATGAATCATGATTACAACATATTACAAAGCAGGGTGTTCGGGTAAATCCGCCCGAATGCCGGGAAGTTCCGCCCGAATGCCGGGAAGTTCCGCCTTTTTGAAACCCCAGAAATTCTCTATTGTTTTACATGTAGACCTGTTTGAGCTTTGCAGTTTGCAAATTACGGCTCGAAGCCACCTGATTTGGAAGATCCGCCCGAGGGCGTTTTTTCTGCCTTTTTCGTAGAAAGGCAGATTTTAAGCAAAAGGCAGATATTAAAGCCCGTTAGAGGATCTAGGTATTCCTCTCACAAACTCGAGGTTGAGGAGTTTGTGGACATTCCGGTGCCTCAGCAGGTGGAGGAAGTGGTCCAGGTGCACTGGTCGAATTGGCTGGTTTGGCACGGAGGGCGAAGACTTCGGATGCCTCAGTAGCGACCGGTTTGGCCGAATATTCCTCGTTGGGCGGGTTCAAAAGAGGTGGCAGGATGTGGCAGGGGTTGGCTGGTGGATGGATCTGTTTTCTTTTCGTGTCTCCTCTCTTCTCCTCTCTTTTTGTGTTTTTTCTTTTCTGTGGACATGTAGACTGTGCGTGGATTCCGTGGATGCTGAATCTTCAGCAGATTTCGAGTCCTAAGCTCGCTCCGCCACTGCGCCAGAGGTCAAGAAGTTGATCCCTCAGGACCTGTCGCGCGGGTCGTGCGTTGTGCGCTGAGTCGATGGGCTTCGCGCTGCGCCACGGAGTTCGCCACGGCCCATCCCGGACTGACCGTTCGTAGACTGACCGTTCCGTAGCCTTCCAGCCCTGGGACGCGACCCGAAGAAATCATGTAAAACAGGTCGTCCGACTGGTTGAAAAATACCAGGTACGAACTGAGACTCCAGCTAGACATGGTGAAGAACAACGGCCTGCAGCGCAAAAACCGGTGTTTCTGACTCTTTGGAGCTTGCAGACCGAACGGAATGGAATGACAAGCATGGATGCTGTTGCACATTTGTTGTTCGTGTCATTCGCATTGGAGTTACACTCATTGGAGTGGATGCTTCTTCGGCAAAAGCACATCCCGACACAAGTCATTCCACTGCAGGACATAGATTTGCTCAAGGGTAAGAAGCAGCAGCTGAAACAAGATCTGAAGGAAATCAGCAAGACTGTGACTGGTGCTTCAATGAACACATGCCTGCCCTTCATTTCTGCCATCTATTCCTTCCATTCCTTCCTTCCAATCATTCCTTCCAGTCATTCCTTCCACTCATTCCTTCCACTCATTCCTTCTCTTCATTCCTTCCACTCATTCCTTCCATTCATTCCTTCCATTCATTCC